CCGCCCGCCAGTCGGAGGAGGAGACCGCCGCCGTGCTAATCCAATCCCACTACAGGGGCTATCTGGTAATTCACCATCATTCCTTACAATATTTTTCCGGTTTAGTGAATAATATAGCGCAAATTTTAAATAAATACGTAAATTTATTTAAATATCATAGAAAAAATATATGATTATCTATAAAAACATTCCAACACTAATTCTCACGATGTTAATTGAGTTATATTTTCCGACGAATGGACGTGACTCACCGGTTTTTCTACAGTGCAACGTGACAAATTTTGTAACGTCAAATAAAATAAAAAATAAGAAAATTAAAAATTATACGATTTGTTTTTTGTGTGAGCATCTCGCAATCGATAATTTTTTTTGGTTGATAATAAAGAATAGTGTAAAAGAATGCTAGACCGGGATTCTTGGTTAGTACAAAGCTAAACCGGTTTGGTTAGCACTAATTATGTTATAAAATTTATATGGTAGGCGAGACGGGCCCTTCGAGCATTGAAGGGACTGGTTCGATTACAAGCTTTGGTACGTGGTCACAACGTACGTAAACAAGCATTGATGACTATGAAATGCAGGCCAAACATGGGCACCGTGTCATGGTTGGGTTCAGGAAACAGGTGGAGGAAGAGGAAAACCGGTTGGATGTGCAAAATCGGAATACCGGTAAGACATTTACTGGTTTTAGCTTTATTTTACTGTACCGGTCCGGTTAAGTACGGTATTTTGGGAACGCCACGGATTGTTTTCTAATGGTAGTATGTTGATTTTGGTAGGGGTTGTGTCCGACAGACAAAATCCGAAGAAGCTGGCCGGAGTGAACCGGACCGGAATATACCAAAACTTTGGGAAGGTTAAGGTGGAAAGAGACTTGAATTAAGAAAAAAAATAGAGTGAAAATAATTTTGCTAGTTTCCGAAAAAATCGTAAAAAGATATTAAAATTAATTGATTATGGTAATAAATAAAATGCAGGAGAAAGAGAGGAGTGAAGGGATGGCGAAGAGAGAGAGAGCCCTTGCCTATGCCTACAGTTACCAGGTTGGCGACCTCTCTATTTCTTTCTTTTGTTTTTATTTCTATGATAAATTAATAAAAACATATTATTAATATTTTTTAAAAATATTTATATCTCGAAGAGGCAAAAGCAAGGTTATGACCAACCGACCACAAACACCAACACCGAGGGGATTGGGCTATCCATCAATGGGCCTGACAGGGCCCAATGGGCCTGGAACTGGCTTGACCATTGGATGTCTTCCCAATCATACACCGGTCGGAACCTAGGCCCGGTCCCTTACAACCCTCCTCCGTACCCGAACTTTTCGGCAGCCTCCGCCACCACCATCCCGACGGACAACGTATCGGAGAAGACGGTCGAGATGGACGTGATGACGCCGGCGAGCTTCAAAGGCGACATCATGGATATGGTAGACCCCGAGTTTATGTATTTGGGCTCGAACCAACAAGCCCAATACCATAGAAAAAGCCCAGTCCATGTACCAAGCTATATGGCCCAAACCGTTTCGGCAAAGGCCAAGGTACGAGGCCATACACCATCTAGCAAGCCTCAGCATGTGCCTCATTGGAACTTGTCGACCAAGGCCGGTTCGGGTTGCGATTCTTCTAGTTCCGGTTATACCATTCCGAGGAGCCCCAATCCGAAAGCCGAGACGAGGCGTAAACCGGTTAGCCCAACATTGAGTCCGACCGGGGAAGGATGGAGAACCGGAGGAGGGGTTGGGAGAAGGGGTCGGAGGCATGATTTGGGCTAAAACTCTTTTTAATTTAGGGTTAATAATCCAATAAATTTGGTTTATGTATCTTACTTTGGGAACATTTTTTGTTACCATGGGAACTCGTACGTGGACTCTATTATTTAGTTTTGTGGTATTGGTGTAATATATTGTTGTATATGATATGATATGATGTATTTAAACCTATGGCCATGTTCTATTTTTCTTTACCAAAAAAAAAAAGCCTATGGTCATGCATGAATCATATAGTTTTTTTTTTGTTTTCATTTTTAATAATAGCCACCGAAAATCGAAATTACATAGATTTAAAACAATCTGAAATCGGAAAAAATATTTGATTCGGTGGACCGTGGGGACAATGGAGAATAATAATTATGTCAAATGCAATCTAATATAGTGAAAATCGATTTAGGGTGACTTGTGATGCAAGAAATGTCGCCGCAAACAAAATCAAAATCAAATATATCAGTTTTACGTTTATGATATACCGAGTTTATAGGTGACTTGTAAAGAGAGATTGTATATTTTGTAATCTAAATGATATTATACTCTTAATATATAATTTATAACATTTAGATCTTTTATATATGACGTTATTTTGATTGTTGATAAACCGATCCTTAACCGACCAAAAAGGAAAACCAGACATAAACCGATTCTATTTGAGATCCTGATTGGCACGAGCGAGGATGCAGAAGATCAACCTGGAAGAATACGGATCCCAGAAGGCACCGATCTCATCTCCTTCTCTCAGATTCCTTCTTCTCACAAACTCTTTGTACCAATTGCCGATGAACACGTAGCTTCGAGTGACCCATCTCTTCAGGACAAGACGGTGCGTTTGCTCAATGTCCAAGTCGAGCACTTTGACCGAGATTTCACCCCCTTGTTCGAGCAAAGCCGCTTCATGGGCCGTCAGATATGGCAGGATGTGAACCATTGCCGACTTAGTTGGCAGAAGGAGCCGGCACTGACTTCCGATGTCGCTCTTCGTGAGGTGTTTCTTTATCTTCCATGGGTCCAGGAAGAGAGATAGTTGGGTGGATAACCCTTGTGCGCTTTCCTTTTCCGAGGGATCCCTCATCAGCCATGGCTTGATGTTTCTTGCGGGGGAAGAAACCGCCGGGACTTGTGCAGTGTCAGGGAATGGCCAGGTTTCGTCGAGCAAACAGAGGGAGGTGGAGGGATCAGCCGAGGAGACTTTCGGATTGGTCACAGGGGACGTGTCTGGATCAAGGGCTGCTTTCGGGGATGATTCCTGATGGTTCTTCATTTTCTTGGGATGCAAGAAAACAGTACTGACGAGACAGAGAGGCAGTTGTGGAGATGAACAGATGGTGCACTATATATATATAGAGAGAGGGAGAGAATAATCTCAGTCCGTACATGATTTGATCCCATCACCTGACGGGAGAAGGAATCGTATTTCCCATTTTTATCGGAAAAAAAGGAAAATATCCATTCCATGGTAATCTTTTTTTTTTTTTAAGTAAACATTTTTCTCAAGGATATGATATATTTCCATTTCTTTATTTTTATTTTTACATCGAGGGCATTAAAATAAAAAAGGAAACACGATATAGGGCAACATAACCCCCACTATTCATCTTCTGTTAGGCCTTTTGGGCTCGGCCCATCTAACGAGGAAATTTGCATAAAATTTATTTGCAGATTTATCTTTATGTGGTTTCAAATTTAAATCCAATCATTTATATGTAAGTAGCTAATTTTGATTTCACATTTTGCTTGACGCCACGTGTTTGCATAATTGATATTTAACCGTGGCTCCACAGGTGATGTCTCCTCCTTCTCCACCCGTCTCCTCATCGGAGACGACGCGAGACCTGGCTCGGGTTTTCTCTCCTTTCGTTTTCCGACATGAACCCGGATCCGGGTTCTTCTGTTCTGTACCGCACGGCTGGGGTTTTCCCCGGAGGTCATCGTACATCGAATAACTAATAACCACAACTGATCGAAATCGAAATAAAACTAAATGATTATAGGTTTTTTTAAAATCCAAAGAAATCGAATCCAAACATGAATCACCGGGTTAAAAAATAACTTTTTTAGAAAAATATTTTGTAAACCAAATATAATCAAATCAAATCCAATAATATTCAATATAAAAATTAAACAATTATAGTTTTTTTAAAACCGAAATAACTAAATTTGAATATAACTAACAGAAATCCAAATAAACCACGTAAACATATTGACAAACCAAGTCAGCTTGCGAATTTTTTTTAACCGATTTAAAAATATAATAATATTTTTTGACCAAAACTTTAGTTCGGTATTATTTAGAAAAACTGAAAAATTAGGGTTTTTTTATTCCATTTTCTAATATAAAAAAGTTGATAGCCACGTGGCACAATATATGGGCTCCCTTCGGCATGAAGTGTCTACAGATCCTTTCTTCTCTCCTCAAATTTCGCGCTTATAAACCAGTTATAAATAATAATTTCAAAAAACAAAACAAAATCTTAAAATTCCAATACCTTCAATCCTATTTTGACGCAATTTTAAGTAATATGTTCATTTCTTACAAATAATTTATATATTAAAAGAAAATAATAAAAATAACAGTTTGTCAGGCATCACGAGAGCTCGTTTTTTTTTTTGCTAATGAAAAATATAAACTGCACTCAAATGACAAAAGGGCTTGCTCAAAACCCTAATTTAAAGATTTATCCATCTTTTTTGGGAAAATTATGGAGCTCTTGTGGATATTCTTTTCGTGAAATGTAGGTCAGGGACTCGCAGTCACAGGTTTTCAATCCATTTCGAGGCTTCACTCTCACGAGGCCGAACAGAAAATAGAAAGATAAACAGGATACTCATCACATCGCCATCGGAGTTTTTTTTTTAATTAAATATAGAGACAAACCCGACTTCCATGGCATCCCTTCAAATCGGCGGCCCGATTACGATCAACCCGTCTGCGGGTTCGCCGGGATTCGACCGGAGCCGATGTTTTCTGCCGATTGATCATCTGGGTTTCCGTCGTTTCCGCGGGAGATTTGGGATCGCGCGGCCTTTGTTGCTCCGGCGTTGTTCCGTCGCGGGAGACGAAATCGGAGATCCCAAAGGCGGCGAGGACGATGATGATCAGGGTTTCGTCATGGACGCAGAGAGAGATGTGTCTGGTTCTGTCATTGGGTTTCATCTCATTCCTCCTGGTAATTCTTCTACACCCACTTATATCCGTTTCTAATTTGGTCGTTTGACTCGTACTGTGTTGTGTTCGAAGATCAAAGGAGGGCCCACTTTAAATTCACAGCATATTCCATGAAAATTCTAATCAATGTATGATACTACAGTAAACCTTCAGTTTTAGACGACACTTCCTGTATGTATGTACGTATCTGTATGCGTGTGAGCGTATAACTGCAGACAAGAACACAAGAGAAGAGAGCATCTAAGTTCGGTCAAAGCAAGTAGCTTGGACCAGATTTAAAAGCTTTGTTTTTCATTTCTCATAACGATTGCAAATTAAGAATCTTTGTTCTAATACAGTCTAATAAAAGGAACAAAAACATTTGCCAAGTTTCTTCTCTTGTTCTTCTTCTGTCTCTGGTTTAGAGTGTTATGTCGCATTGTTGGTACACGTCAGTAATGAAGCTCTAACAGAGTCTTGTGGATTTTGAGACGAGGGATGATATGACCAGTGATTAACTTGTTTCCTCTTTTTCCAATCTGTAAATATTTCTCTCAAGACCGCTGAATCGAGTCTTTCCATGGTTTGCTTGAAATTTTACGGGTTTTTAATTTCAAAAAATGTCTCTCTGAATCGAATATTTGGAAGGAACTTTCATAAATTTTGCAGGTCTTTTAACTTGGTGGTGTGCAAGAGTAGTCGAATTCTTGGACTTGACGTGTTGTTCTCATACTGTATTTCTTCATTCAGGGATTGGTCAAGGAATCATCAGCTCTGGTACACACGAAAAAGAGACAGATGATGAAACAGAGGAAGTGGATATGGGTGATGAGGAATGCGTAGTGGTTAAAGAGGAAGATGCAGAAGAAGAGATAAAATTAATCCACAACATCATCTTTGTTACATCCGAGGCCGCACCTTACTCCAAGACCGGAGGATTGGGGGATGTTTGTGGGTCTTTGCCTATAGCATTGGCCAAACATGGGCACCGTGTCATGGTTGTCTCTCCTCGTTATCAGAATGGTACATCTGCGGATGAGAACTTTGCTCGGGCTAAGGATTTGGATGCTCGTATCAGCGTACACTGCTTTGGAGGTTCTCAAGAAATCACCTTCTTTCACGAATACAGAGAAGGCGTTGATTGGGTAAGCGTATGCGTATGCATATTTCCAAACTCTCGATTATAACAACAGCTTGAAATGTCACATATTTTGGATCGTCAACAATCCATTCTTTCACAGCTCATTGTATTACAGACATCGTTAGTGTTTTTTTTAATTAATTTCTCGCAATGTTTAGGTTTTCGTCGATCACCCATCGTACCATAGGCCTGGTAATCCTTACGGAGATTGTTACGGAGCCTTCGGCGATAATCAGGTACTTATTTTTTCATCGACCTTTTGATTTGGAAGAAAGAAAGCAATTTTTCCGACATGTGTTAAATGTAGTTTGCCTCCTTTTGTGGTTGTTTTGGAATGTATGAATGTTTTTTCTGGTGGTACAGAGACAGATGACAAGTGCTGGTGTTTCATTTTGTGAAACAGTTTCGGTTCACTTTACTTTGCCATGCAGCGTGTGAAGCCCCTCTCGTCCTCCCTCTCGGAGGGTTCACTTACGGAGAAAAATGTCTCTTCCTCGTCAATGATTGGCATGCCGGACTTGTTCCCACGTATGTTTTTTTTTCCAAGATTGATTCTGTATGAAAGACTGCACAAAAAAAAATATTAGATTTGCTTGGTACTTCACTTTGAAGCACATAACCTAACTAACTCTGGGTTTTGTTTTGATTTTGCACTTGAACGTTGATGAATATTGATTGAGCCACCCTGCTTTTTTGCGTATTTAACTTCTGATATGACGTTCGGTACAGACTTCTGGCCGGAAAATATCGCCCATACGGAGTTTATAAAGATGCAAGATGTATTCTTGTAATACATAACCTTGCTCATCAGGTAAATCTATTTCCTCATATGTTGTAGTTCATGTCTTTTGAAATGAAGCGTCGTCTAGGGTATCTATTCTTTAATATGCATCTGCCATTCATAACCACAACCCTAGAAAATACCGTCATCTTAGTCAGAAAATGACATTCACCACCATTATGTTATGTGTCATTTGAATCGTGCACGCAATTGTCTTAAGGGAGTGGAGCCAGCAGCTACGTTCAAAAATCTGGGATTGCCTTCGGAGTGGTATGGAGCATTGGAATGGGTGTTTCCAACATGGGCAAGGACTCATGCTCTCGACACTGGTGAGGCCGTCAACGTTCTCAAGGGCGCTATTGTCACCTCTGACCGGATTGTTACTGTGAGCCAGGTCAGGTGATGCAATCTTTTAAATAAAAATCTCTCAACTTTCAATGTTTTTTGTATTCATGTTTTCGAGAGGTTTTTGTAAGACAATTTAATACCTGCTTCGAGGGCCATATTTGCTAAATTTTAGAAAGTATATGTATTATATTGGGATTAAGTGCAAGTACATGATTTTTTAGTAAAAAAAGTACAGATATTAAATGGCCGATGACCGAAAAGTATAGAGTTTTGTTTTTGGTCGATGTTCTCTAAAATCATTTACATACTTCTCGCCGTTGTAGGGTTATGCAGGGGAAATCACTACTGTTGAAGGTGGATATGGTCTACAAGACTTACTCGCCAGTCGCAAGAGTGTTATAAACGGTATCATTCTTGATTGCTGCCTGCTTAAAACCTCGACGCATCTCTGAAGCCGATATTTCTATAATGTTTTAATCATTATATTTTCCAGGAATCACGAACGGGATTGATGTTGATGAGTGGGATCCATCTACAGACGGACACATTCCCTTCCATTACTCTGCTGATGATCTCTCCGGAAAGGTATCATCAAGTTGTTTGTTGCATCTTTGCCGAAAACCAAACCCTAAACCCTAAAAGGAATGCTGACAAGAATGCATTGTTCTGTCAAATGACTTTTCAGGTTAGTTGCAAGATCGCACTGCAGAAGGAACTGGGTCTTCCCGTTAGGCCGGAATGTCCCCTGGTATGACTCTTTTTCGTGTTTTCTTTTTCATTTTTATCGGACCGGAGAGATTATAATAATACGAAACTCTTACAGATCGGATTCATTGGGAGATTAGATTACCAGAAAGGTATCGATGTGATACAATTGGCTGCTCCTGATATGTTGGAGGACGACATTCAATTCGTAAGCTGAGTCTTTTCCCGCGTTATAACTAAAAAATTATGAAATGCTGTGTTTTTATACGAGTTTCGGTGGAAGAATTATGAATGCTGTGTTTTGTTCTGTAACTTTTGTTTTTGACATACCTCAATGTTTTCAAAATATGATAAGGACAGGAATATTTTTGCTCTTTTTAAGAAGCTAAAACTTATTTAAATGAATTGATTCTTGCAGGTCATGCTGGGTTCAGGAGACCCGAAATATGAGGATTGGATGAAGATGACGGAGGCTACATACAGAGACAAGTTCCGAGGTTGGGTCGGATTCAATGTTCCTGTTTCTCATCGGATCACTGCCGGGTACTTAAGATTCCTAAGTAGAAAAGTGCATCATTCATTACAACTACCTATTACGCACAGAATTCGGTTTATGCTAAGGTTTACGATGAAATCCTTCGACAGTCTGATTGTGAAAAAAGCATATTCCGTCTTTATCTTTCTCCAATGACTGGTTCTCCCCCGAGACTCACGCGGATTTTTTTTAATTCTAAGATTCGTTTCAAACAAAGAAAGCATCATGACAAAGATCATATCATTTTTTGCTCATTCTTGGAACACATGAACAGATGCGACATTCTCCTAATGCCATCAAGATTCGAGCCATGCGGTTTAAACCAACTATACGCGATGAGATACGGGACCATTCCCGTCGTTCATGGCACCGGTGGACTCAGAGTGAGTCTCAAGACTCTTTTCTACTGCAAAGTCATGTTTCTTGTATTTAGGATCAAAGAATGGTTCGATCTCATCGCATGGGACTTCCATTTTATTTTCAGGATACGGTCGAGAATTTCAACCCATACGCCGCAGGAGGAGCTGGCGAAGGGACAGGGTATGTATATATATCCATGCATATCTATATTTCTGTTGTATATCTCATCTCTATTGAATTGAATTTGAATATCACAGATGGGTTTTCTCTCCCTTGACGAAAGAAAGCATGTCGACGGTAAGATTCTCGGTTCATGTAGTCTGTATCTTCTCGTTATCCATGTCCGAGTTTTATTGATCAGTGTTTTCGGTAGGAAATTACAGAAATGCCCTGTTGTCCATGCAGGCGATGAGGTTGGCGACGACGACGTACAGAGAGTACAAGCAGTCGTGGGGAGGGATGGTGAGAAGAGGAATGGGAAGAGACTTCTCGTGGCAAAACGCCGCCGTTCTGTACGAGCAGGTTTTCCAATGGGTTTTCATGGATCCTCCCTACGTTGGTTAAAACCGGCTAATCATTAACCGAACCAAATGTAGAAATAGCCCTACCGGAGGACTTTCATCCGGTTATCCAAAATCCCATCTCCCGGTTTCGGGATATTCTCAATATCCATGAGTTAACTTAACACTGTTATTTAATTTTTGTTTGATTTAGTTTTGGGGATATAATTTATTTTTAAAGTGGAATATTTGATTGGTTCGATGAAAATATACTAAAGGACCAAAAAAAAAAAAAAGAGGTACGAATCATGGCATTAGAAGAAAGATGATGATAGAGGAGGCAGAGAAGCATGACTTCCGGGACTCGTGGAACCCATAAATTATATAATCAGACAGTAACATGGTCTGTCCGTAAGAATTTGCATGATAAATAAATTAATTGATAATTTGGAAAATAAAGGAAATGACATTTTCACCATCAAATATATCACACTGTGACATTCGTTATATATAAAAATATATAACGAATGCGTTATTTTCTGCATTTCATAATGATTTAACACAGAGAAAAGAATTGGACGTCTAAAGACGTGCTGTGCTTCCTTTGAATCATTGCCTTGTCTGTCTGTCTCTTGAGTGCGCGAAACGTATTTTCAAAAAATAAAATATTATCCATTTTCAATAAAAAGAGGCACGCACGATCCTTATATCTTATCATTTGCCTGTACATTATATTATGTTTTTTTAAAATTCATGATAGTTCGTTCACGGCATGGTTTTCTTAACTAGTCTTGTTATTTTTTTTTTCACATAGTAACTTAATAGCTGTGGATAAAACAGGAAATTGTCTAAAAAAATATAAAATTGAGTTTTTGGTATTTTGAAACCACTATAAAATATTTAAAAATTCCTAATTTTGAATCAAAATAGACGAATAACGTATAAATTTTGGATTATATTTGTCCAGATGAGATATATATTTTTTAGAATATTGATTCAAGTGTTGTATTTCATTCAGATAATTTGAAAATTCATAAGGTGAGATTAAGCTTACCGCCTTACATAATGGACATTTTTTTTTGCATTTAATAAATGCACCTCGGGGTAAATTATTTATCAATTTGAAAAAACAATAAGGTGAAAAAATAATAAAGGGCCGAGAGTTTCTCCGCTGATGATGGGACAAAAGTGAAAAGTGGGAGTTTGGGTTCTGAGCTTTCACATACGAAACACAACACATTCGCCACTTTCCCTTCTTGCATCTCTCCAATCACTGTCCCGTTTCGTTCCCCGTTTTCGTTTTTCCTCTTTGGCTTTGCCGAGGAATTCTTATCAGAAACTGGGTTTTCAAAAAAATAAATCTGTGCCTGTTTCCCTCACAAATCCGATCCTTTCTTCGAGCAAGGCAGGAGGCGGAGCTAGAGTAGCAGTATTAGCGTACTAATCCCAGGTTAGTTTCTCTTATTGCCATTTCTCATCAGCTGTTTCCTTCTCTGTCTGATCCATTTTCTGGGAATTAAGCTGAAATGGGTCGGAACTCTGGACGATTATATTGGTTGGGTCTTTTTTTTTTTAAAAAAAATTATTCTCTGGACATTAGTTTTGAAATTGAGTTTTGTTTGTGGGTTCTGTTCTTATGGTAAAATATCTGAAGATCTTCAGATTTTTTCCCCGGAGATTTTAGGGTATATGAGATCGGACCCTGGAATATAGTGGTCCGGGTTGGTGGAAGTGTTCCATTTGTTTTTGTTTAAAAGATTCCTGCAGATTAAACTGGGTTTGGTCCCTGAACTTTTTTTCTAGGGTTTGTCGATTTTTTTAGGACATAGTTTCTTGCAATTTGTACTATTTTTTGCTTGTTCTTGTTCATATGTTATAAAATATTGCAGTTCTTTCATTGATCTTGAGGGGTTTAGGCGCACTCGAACCAGAAAATCTAGGTTAGGTTAGAATTGTGTCTTGTTCTTCCTGCAAGTTGGGTTGGTTTTGCCATTCTTCTATTTCAATTTTTTTATAAAAAAAAAAATTGCAGCTTTTGAAAAAGGGTTTTATTTGTTGTTTAATCCGTAGTTCCCTTTCTGGGATCTTTTATTAATTTCTTAGAGAGTATTGCTGAAGATTCAGACAAAATCTGTTTGTCTCAGATCACTATTCTATTAGTCGCTTTGGATAGAGCTGTGGATTCTACTTCTTGTCTGTTTCTATGTTCTTGCTCTTACCTAAATCATCTCAATCAGAAGATCTCAGTCTCAAGTTTGAATTCGAGATCAAGTCGAAGATGGGTTTTTTTTTTTTGGCTAAATCAAATCAATCAGAAGATCTCAGAGATTGATTCCCGTACTCGAATGTTATAAAACACGCAGCTTTTCAGTGTTCTTGATCACATCTTAGTGTAAATAAGCGAGGAAGCTCGAGTCTTTCTACAGTCTCGTATGGTGATTCGATTTCTTTTCACAGCAAAGAGAAGAGCCGAGTTTGGGATTCTGCGTGTCTTCAGCCTTGTTGTCGAGTTTTGCGGCTCTGTCGAAGAGAATGAGCGCAGCAGCAACTACAATGTCTGTATCTCGGGAAGCTCCGAATTATGACGAGCTCTCTATGCAGCAGAGCCTGCTCTTCTCTGATAGTCTCAAGGTACCTTGTTCATTCTTCAATCCTACATTCTTCTTTGTTCATGGTTGTTTTGTTTGGTTAAAAGCCTGAAAATTTCTCTCAAGATCTTTCTTATTAGTCTGATCATCCGCAAGAATCCGATCTTTAGGCACCAGGATTCATTTTGGGGGAAAAAAGAAATGGAGAAAAGGGATTTTGGAACTTCGAAATGGGGATCTTGAAACATATCGAGACCATAATTTTTCAGGATCTGAAGAATTTGAGGACTCAGTTGTACTCAGCAGCCGAATACTTTGAACTGTCATACACAAACGACGAGCAGAAAGAAATGTGAGATGCTCGGCTAGTTTACAGACTAGATAGATTTTGTAAGTTCACTGTGTTTTTTAGCGTTTGATTTTCGGCGTATGCGTTTGCGCAGCGTTGTGGAGACGCTGAAAGATTACGCGATAAAGGCTCTGGTGAATACAGTTGACCACTTGGGTTCGGTTACATATAAAGTCAATGACTTCCTTGATGAAAAGGTTGATGAAGTCTCAGGAACCGAACTGCGCGTTTCTTGCATGGAACAGGTACCTTATACTTATAAATTCGGTTATTCTTATGTACATTTTTCGTTATATCATTCAGGTTAATTATATAGTTTTTTTTTTTGTTGTGCTGATCTATAAAACATCATGAACTGCTAGAGGCTACGGATGTGTCAGGAGTATATGGATCACGAAGGGCGTTCGCAGCAATCGCTCGTGATCAACACTCCAAAGTTCCATAAACGATATATCTTGCCCGGTAATTTTCTCTTTCTACCCACCCATCGAAATTTCGGGGTTTTTGTCCGAGACTAACTAAAGGAATATCGATTCTACCAGCGGGCGAAATGATGGCCGGAGCCAACCTTTCAAAGCTAAAGTATGTCGGATGCAGTTTGGACGACGAAGATGACTGGAACCAATTTCGGAATTGTGCGAATCCATGCTTGGTTTTTTTTTTCCTTTCTGTTTTCTGGTACTCCTGTAGTTTATGTTTCCTCGTTCAAGTTTTAACAATTTCGTCCGAATCCATTTCCCGTCGTCAGCTGTTCGGGCTACAATTCGGGAGACGCCTCCACCACCGCCACCCGTGAGGTAATTTCGGTATTCACAGCTCAGAATGTTAAGACATCTTTTCCTGTTCCAGTGGTAAAAAAAAATATCAAATCTTTCCCTTAACACAAGCTTGAACATATACTTCTCGAGAGCGGGTTTTCGGCTATACCCGAAGAGTTGCTCGGGTTTCCCTTTTTAGCAAAAGCATAGTCTTGATGAGCCAATGTCTTTATCTTTGCAGGAAACCCGCAACTCAGGCCCCATCTCCACGTCAACCACAACGATCCGCAACGTTTTCGTTCAGTTCCACCGCACCAAAGCAAGAACAAGGTAACACAGACAGTGATAGCTCAAGCTGTTGTGTTTTCCATAGAATGCATATCGAGACTGTCCTTTTTTTCCGACATTTTTGTATTTTGTTTTGGTCGTGGAATCAGTTAAGAGAACAGTATCGCCACATCGGTTTCCGCTTCTAAGATCCGGGTCAGTTGCGATCCGGCCATCTTCCATTAGCCGCCCAACGACCCCGAGCAAGAGCAAACCGGTTTCTCCTAAACGGGTAAAGCATAAATTGATCTATGATGGGTTGTTTTCAGTCAACAGACATGTTTTTTTAACCGGTTCCATGCTTCCGGGAACATGAACAAAGACATTTTATCTGAATGTGTTTTATTTCCGGTACAGTATCCATCAGAACCAAGAAGATCGGCTTCAGTTAGGATGGGCTTCGAGAAAGAACACCATAAAGAAACAGAACATCAACCGAGCAAGAGCAAAAGGCTGCTCAAGGCTTTGCTTAGCCGACGCAAAACCAAGAAGGACGATTCTTTATACACTTACCTGGACGAATACTGAAGCGAAAACCCGGTTTTATTTGTAAACCGAGGCTAAACCAAACCGGGAAATTGTATTCTGCTCCAGTTTCAATTTATTTATATATCTACATCTGTATGGGAAGTTCGATTATGGGTCTTTTACTTACGTGATGTATACCGAAACCGATGGTAAATGTGAATGCAATGTCAACGATTCTTGAACCGGATTGAAATTGAAATCCCAGTTTCTGGTTTTACCAAACTAAGGTAATCTTTCTGGTTTGCTATAATGATTTCCTTTATTCAGTTTTCATTCTTAAAATGGTACACATTTTTGTTCTAAACATGGTTTGGAGGACCCGGAGGATGTGTACGAGGACCGTCGTAGTCGATTCCAATATCCGATGCTCCTCCGTGGGGACTTCCCGGAGGATGTGTGTGAGGTCCCGAGTAATCGATTCCGACATCGGCTACCTATTTCACCAAAAAGAAAATTACAATCACAAATCATGGTTTCTATTTCATGTTCATACGGATGTATTTTTTTTTTTATAACGGAGGACCCCTAACTGCTACCATTCGGACGCGTTGACTAGGTAAACATGCGGTCCGAGAACAACCTTTGTATATGGATCATATAAACCCAGAAATTACCTCACTCCCTATTAACCAGGAATCGAACACTCAACTTCAAGTTGGTGTTAACTCCTACCCCAAGTTTGACTATTCGCCCACGATCTGTTGGGTCATACGGATGTATTTACCTTGTGGTTGATCAGATTCGCAGGAGTAGCTTCATCTAGTCCTCCTAATACGAGAAGACAAAGTATAGATGATATTGTTCATCAACAATATAACAATCATAGTTTTTTATATATAAAAAAAAAATCGTAGCGGTTCTAATTTGTCAGTTAGGTTACTTGAATGGCACAACGGGAATAGGAGCAATAAGAACGATGAGAGAAGCACCAACTTCATCCTGCAAACGACTCTTTTAAGTAATTATAGAATTATAATAGCATAAGCACCCACACAAACATATATATATATATATATGTATATATAGTTACATTTAATCACTTACCATATTTGTTGGGTTATTGTTATCACTAGTTAATGGTTTCAATGATATTGATATCAGAATGGCCGATTTTGAGATTTTTTAAAAAAATTAATGAATCTTTGTTTACCCATCAATTGAAATTTACTACAAAATCTGTAGATTTTTAATTGTTAATTTATTTTAAGGATTCTACCACTTTTTTTTTTTATGTTCATCTGACCATTCAATATATGGATCATAGTTTGGTAGAATGATTCCCCTGAATGGGCTTGGACCGTTCTAGAAAATAACGGCCCATTTCCCATGCAAATGTTTGACCACAAAACCAAATTATACGAGGCCTTCAAGTATTTGTATTTTGGGCAAGGAATCAGACACTTTATATTTCGGTTCAGGTCTGGTTTGTTATTTTTAGGTTTAGTTTTGTTAATATAAAAATAAAAAAATTACGGTCATTCTATTTTTACATTAAATTAAAATTTGTTAGGCGCGTGGGCATTTCGGTTCGGAATTTGGTTCCAAACCGATCTGAATCGAAATCGATCCGAACAGAAGAAAATTGGGTATTGATTTGGTACAGTTTTTGTAGAACCAAATAAATCATTTTCAAACCGAAGCCAGAAATATTGAACCAAACCTGATAAATACCGAATTATTCATAACCATATATGAAGTCATATGTAAATATCAAATTTTGCTCCATATCTGATACTCTATCGAAGTGAAACGAACTGAACCGAACAAATACCAAAACGAATTCCACACTCTGTTTCTAGTAACCTATATGTTCGGAAATCGTTTCAAAGGCCATCATAGTCAGACGCGGTGATTCGTGTGAGTGTTTTCCCATAGTCCGGGTTTGAATCCCACATCGACAATCACCAATATAAAAAAATACAAATTCTTGAATTGTTTTTTAAAAAAAGAATAGAATAGAGAAGCTTACAAATATTTATATTTATTGTATCCAAAGTGTCTCCCACAAACCCCCAACAGAAAAAAAGATTTCAATGGTAAAAATCAAACAGTAATTTTAAAAAAATAACAGTTTCAAATTGGGACGGTTCAGATTGGATTATTTTAATTTTATATAATTTATAACCAATCGGTTTAATATTTATTTTTAAAAATACTTTTGGATTTTTTATCTGTCCAAATTTGATTTTTTTTTTAAAAATCATAATTTATACCGACTCAACTCAATTATCGAATTCAATTAGATTATAATTGTGTTATTTGCAGTTCGATTGACAACCCTATTATAATCTTGGACCAACCAAATCAATCCGGATATTAACAATCTGGAAAGTGGAAACAGTAAAATCCAAGCCTCTTACATTTGAATAACATTAATTTGACTATTTACTTGCATAACCCCAAAAAAAAAAAACCTGTATAACGATTTTTTTAAATCAAATCTCAACCCACCATTAATTCAGGCAGCTCAGGCCCAACAAAAAGACCAAAAACCACAGGCCTTGTGGATCCGCCATTTGTCGCAAGCTAATTGGCGCTTGTGAAAGCTGGTGGTGGTGCATTAGCAGCCGTTGGATCAGACGGTTACAGGTAACCCGTAGTTGTGAAACAATCTGATCCGTCCATCCCAACCACCGGTGACGATGACGAGTCCCCACAGATGGGAAGACTCCGACGTTCTCTGGCACGACGACTGGAGAAACTTGTACTGCGATCTCCGGATGGCCTTCGCCGGCCCGAGCTTCTCCTCCGGCCAAGTAGCCGTCCCCTTCGGAGAATCCAGAACATACTCCCGTCCCAACGAGAACAGCGAAGGCGAGAGTTCGGGGTTGAGCCCGCGCCACGGGATGGCCACAGACACGTTAGCCGAGAATCTCTCGAAAGATCGGATCTTGAGACGTTTCTTACGCGACAAGGAACCCGAAGACGGCTCAGGGTCGTGGCCCCGGCCTACGCAGCAGTTCCACATGTAGACAGAGGAATCATCGCATGCCGATATAATGTGCTTTCCGTCGGCCGTGAAAGACGCCGATATCTGGTTCCCGGCATTGCGAGAGCCTACGAGAGATACGAATGCCGGGGCGCTATCAGAAGATGTAAAAATAACAGGGTCTTTTGTGTAATTTTAAGAAAATGTGTGCCTTTTACCCTTGTATTTATGGACAACGTTGAGGCCATCAAGGATCCTCACTTGCGAATCCGCGGACACTACCATGACTCTGCTCGGATCACTCGGAGCGAACTGCATTAGGACATTAGCCATTATCGTTAACGATATTCGATTCCCGAGTCATGAATCTAAGCCATTGGCCGATGAAATTCGGACCTGAAAGCTGGTAATCCGTTTGTTGGAAGACCTCTTCTTGTTATGCAGACATATCTGAGCTTCGAGCTCCAAGTGATGATGATCTGACAGAGGACATTACGTAAGAAACCGATAAACAAACGCAGCTGTCTGAAGAAAAAAAAAAAGTGTATGCCCTAATTCATTCACGCATACCCGACACGTTGTAGAAGAGGCAATCACTTGTCAGAGTTCCGACAATCCCTCCCTGAGATTATCGGCAAATTAAGCTGAATCAACAAAATAGATCGACGACAAAAAAGAAAAGAAAAGAAAAGAGCTTCGGAATAAACAGTACCTGCCCGTCTGGACGGTAACACACAGCAGTGACGATACCTCTAACGTCGGCCCAATCTATGACTTGGCAGTGAGGAACTGACCAAATACGAACTTTTCCATCTATCGAACCGCTAATGAAGTAATCATCGTCAACCGGGTTGAACTGAACTGACGTAACTGCACAATGTGGAAACCCGAAATCTAAAGGATCGGAAAATAACTATACAGCAAATGGCGGCGGTATGCAAGGAGTGTTCCCGTACCGTAGTTACTGTGGGAGAAAACTCCGAGACAATTTTCGCAGCCCATCTGCCATAACCGAACAGTTTTGTCTACTGAAGCTGACAACAGACGCTGCCACCAATATCACACAATCAGCAACTTGGTCTAGTTTCTGTTCAAAGACACACATCATGGACTGAATCTACATTCAAACCAAATAAGAAGAAAGTAACCCAAAATCTGGATCGAGGAAAGGGATCCGAGTTCATTTTTCTGTGTTAAAGGAAAAAAAGGGTTGGCAGCAGCTCGTGTCTCGGTTCAAAGTATATGCATAAAGTGAATTTAGCTTCATGCTTAGAGATCAGAAAGAATGAAAAATATGGGCGGTTCAATGAATCATACTCACGTTGTTCTTGGACCATGAGATATCAAGGATGTCACCCGTGTGGCCGAGGAACTCCTGAACAGGTCTCTCCAGAACCCGGAAAATCTTCGGGGGGAAAATAACACAGGCTGAATCCGTTGTCTTCCTCGGACTCATCAACACACCTGTAATCTTTTCCTTTTCTACAGCCACGGGTTTCAACTCGGAAAGATTGTTCACTTCGAAGTACATACAAGAGGGATCGATCTCGGGAATGTCATGTTCATCGGATCTAGCATCTTCAACGACGCTCCAAACCCGCAAAACCCTGTCTTCACCCGCACTTGCAAGGTACTTCCCGTCGGGACTGAATTTCATCGAGAGAATCGAACCTTCATGGGCTTGTACTTCTTGCCCCTTATAAAGAGCTGAAAGCTCCTTGACCTGTTTCTTGTACTCCTTAACCCTAACTCTCTCGATTCCACCCCCGAAACCGGCAACATTGTCTGAGTCATCTCCCGATCTCCGCCTATTACGCACTTTTCTCAACCGACTCAACCATTTCTCCTTAACCCTCTTCATGATCCCACCTAAATCCCGCTGTTCCACGGCAGTCTGATCTCTAATCCTCGCATTCGGGGATTCGGGTTCAATCAGTTCACCGTTTTCCATCACAACTCTATCTACATTATCCATGAAACCCAGCGCATGGGATTCAGAACATAGACTAGAGTTAAATTCATCACCAAAATCTAAGTTCCTTAGAACCACTCTGCTACAATTATCTCCCGTTCTAGCTCCACTTGCATCTACAATGCTATCTGCATTATCCCTTAAACCCGATACAAATGATTCAGAGCGACAAGAACTAAATTCATCATCGAATCCTGATGTCATAAGAACCGCTCCGCTATGATCCTCGTTGATTCTGTTCCTACTTGAACCCAGATCTACATTGTACGAATTTTCGTTATGAGTTTGTCTCACACTTACTCCCATCCAATTCAAGAACTTGCTTCGGCGTTCTTCAGCTTTTTCTGGGCTTTTGATCCAAACATCGTACTGGAAATTACCCGGAGTCGATGATGGAGAATCATCGATCTCGATTCTGTCGGAACTTGCACTGGAACATGATGCGATATCTTCGTGCGCATCAAAAAACCGAAATTCTTCGTCTTCAATTAGGGATTCCATCTCTTTTCGCCGTTCCTTTTCTCTGCTTTATGCGGTGTTCTTTCTTTTCAGCTCAATCCATGAACAAAAAAATTGGGCTTTGAGATTGAGAGTTGCCTGCACAGAAAGCAACAGAGAAAATTTTAAAAAAATTTCCTGAGAAACAAAGGGAAAATGAACGCGAATTCTGAGAAGAAGAACAGAAATTGCTAAAATAATTCGAGGAAACACTTGCATAGAGAAATGCAAAACATATATATATATATATATATAGAGAGAGAGAGAGAGAGAGAGAGAGAGAGTAAGTAGATCCAACAACATAGATCCCAATCAAATATGAACCCAAGATTAGAACACCAAAAACAAGAAGATTAAAAACGAGAACGAGAGAGAGAGAGAGAGAGAGAGATTGAAACGACATTGGAATTCCACGGAAGAATCAGTACCCTGAAGCAGAAACCGGAGTCCTCGTTATTCCATTTGAAAAATCGAATCAGAAAAAGAGAAACATAAAAAAAAATCCAATAATCGGGACGAAAGAACAAACCATGCAAATCTTTTTTTAATATATAAGAAAGCTCGAAATTTACAAAAAGGGGTTTCTGATTTCTTACATTTGGGGATTTTGTTCTACGAGGTTTCTTTGATGCTGGAGAGCTCGCGAAACGAAGACGACGAAGAACAATCACCCATCAGATTTCTCGAAGTTCTCCACTTTCTTTTTCTCCTGGGTTTTCCAAAAAAAAAAAAGAGGGGTTGATTTTGATTTTTTTTTTATGTAACCTGATAGAGGAAAATCGAAAACAAAGACGAGGCGTAGATTGAATGAAAGAGGGAATCTCTGTCACAGAAGGGGAGAAGAAGGAGGTGGAGAAGAAGGAAGGAAATTATTATATTTTGGCTGTCTATGGAATATTGTCCGAATCTGATTTGGGAGGGACATATTAATATTGTGATCACTTTTTTTTTTAATTTCATAAGTAAATCATTATCTAATTCTATACCCAAATACATAATTTCGTTGGTTTTCTTTTTTTTTTTTGCCGAGAAATTTGCAGATTACTAATACAAAATTAGAGAACTAAAGGTACTTTTGCAAAATGATACATTTGGGCGAAATTTATAAATAATTCATTCGGTGAAAAACAAATTAAAAAGGAAATATTCACTTGTTCCGTTTACCAGAAGACCATCAAAGAGTTGCAATTATAACAATGAAGTATGTCAGTTTAATTACTTAAAATTCAATAATATTTATTTGGTAAATTATTAAAAAAAACTGAACCAAACTTGTTTAGTTCGTGTGGAAAAAAAGACTTCTGTCTTCACATTATAGGCAAAATTTTATTATATATTTTGGAATCTTGAGACTTAGATTTGCAGATCATTTGAGGAATGAAAGTTGTGTGATTTAATATGGAAATGTTTGTGTGTTTTTTTAGTATACGGTCCATTTCCAAGGTTATATATCATTGAAAAATCCATTAAAAAAAATAAAATCTGGTGGGTTAGGTTAGGTACCCAATGTCTTTTCTTATTGATATTGCTCTTTTTCCTAATTACAATAATGTGACCATAAAATATTATTTAATTTTACAGTATTTATGGTGAAAATACAAATTTATTAAAGCTTTTTGACTGAAATTTTCTAACAAAATATACATACTGACTCAACTAAAGTCACGTCAACAAAGCAGGTCGTACATTATCCTAAAAGTGAAAATGGAATTTGGTAATTGGGTTAGTATGCTTCTTTCAAAACTTATTAGAAAAAAATAAAATATGAAAAAAATAAGGAAAAAACAAAGAAGAAAAAGTCGCATGTATTAAGTTCTCAATATAAAAATTTAAAAATAAAATCTTAAGAAAGATGGGTTCAGGAGTCCAGGACGGAAGCTATTTGGTGAATTGTCAGAATCACCCCTGAGTATTACATGTATTTACAGAAGTTGCCACTAACAAGTCAAAAAGGTCAAACAAAACAAATGATATCATGCATGGGAAATGTCGTAAAAAGACATGGTTTACATGTGTGTGTGTATATACATGTCTTTATAATATAAGTGCATATACATGTGTACGACTGTATACTCGTGTATACATACATACATATATATATATACACATGTAATATCCTCGCGCAAGGCCCATGAAATTGCACATACATCATCACATGTGTCCCTCCAATCATTCCATGTACATCTCTTCTCATGGGACACCCCATCCAAAAAAAAATCCTCCACCAAGCAACAAATATCACATATACGTATATATATATATATATGCACCATAAACATTCGAAACCTGACGTCCGAGCTAAACATCGTGGTTCAAATTTCATCAACAAAATGCGCACACACACACATACATACATACATACATACATACATACATACATACATACATACATACATACATACATACGGTTTTTTTGGTAAAAGATAACATACATACATATATGGAGCTGAGTGTGGCGTACAAGATAATTATACATTAAATAAAGCATTCTGACAAAAAAAACAAAATTATATATTATAATTGATAATTAAAAACTTAATACAAACCACTCAGAGTATTAATTAATTAACCTTATCTAGTTTAGCCAAATATTATCATTTTGTCTTATGTTACAACCAACAGGTTCAAGATGTGCACGAACGAGCGAGGGCCTAATAATTATTTACTCGAGCACCAATATATATTAAATTCCGAGACAAAGTTAAGCTCCTAATTATTTTATTAGTGACAAGACAAAAACAAAATTAATATATTATGAGTGGTGGGATCTTTTTAAATGATTGTATTTGTCGTCATAATTTTGGTTTGTAATATTTTAGCATTAATTAATATTAGTATCGGAAACTTCTATCCGATCCAGCCTCTTGTTTTCCGTTCGATTTTAAATAGATTAAAATAATCAAAACTAATTCATATAAACAGAATTAAATTATATCAAACATATATTTTAAATATAACATAAAAATTAAAAATTGAAAGGCAAAAAAAAATGGAAAGAAACAAAGGTGTGATGAATTTTCAATGAATAGGATATTTGTAACCAATTTAATAACACAAACCCAACTTTATATATCAAATTATTGTTCTATCGCGTTATGGATTACTAGTTGAGGTATTGAATCTATTTATTAATTATTTATTTATTTTCATCGAAGACGCTATGATTAAAAACAAAAGATAAAGATGAGATTTGCCTTTTTCTTAACCACTATTATTTGGAAAATATTTTCGGATTACGTGTTAGAAATAACAGCAGCTTATAAATTGTTGAAAAGTTACAACTTTGAAAAGATTTATCAAGTGGATGTCTAATTTGGACACCTTTCAATATACACATCACAATCATATATACTTCACATATATATGCCAAAAAAATAAAATAAAATAATTTTAATACATATATCATTGGTCATGTAGAATATGGACATTTGACACCAAACACATCTATGAAAGCTAGAGAAATAATTACTCAATTTTATTAATAGTGATTCATGTCTCCATTTGATCCCGACATAAATCCTCGTGAATTTCCTTTTTCTCAAGAATGTCTCGTTAATTTCTTTTTTGGGGAATTATATACGGATAAAAGTAAAAAATGGGAAAAAAACAGAAATAGATAATTACTCATAAGTAACATATGAATTGAAAAGGGTTGGTGGTTACTTAGTCTTATTTAATATTATATAACATTGAATTCATATATTATGCTTTTTTTTTTGTTATCTAACATTTATTTTTGCTAATACTTTAACAAAGGGAGGAAAGGAAAAGTATTTGGCTAACTCAAGATTTTGTTTGTATTTTTTAAAAGTCAAAAACACACTTTCAATGTTTGTTACCCACACTCATATGATATATATATATATATATATATATATATATATATATATAACATGACGATCACTTTTGATACGCTCCGACATGTTTTTCCATTACGAATAATTTTTGCCGATATTTTTGGAAAAGCAGCCCGCAATGAAAATATATATGATTTGGCTAACTCAAGTTCCTGTCTAATTCCTAAAGTCAGAAACATACTTCGGTTTTGTCAGATGGTTACTAAGAAATCTTCATTTATCGAATAATAATAATCACATTTCTAATTTATTTGAAAATCCTTAATCCCAACATATTTTATTGAAAAAACAATTAAATTAATTAAAACCGTTAAAACATGTTTTATATATTTCTAATTATATGCGTGCTTTTTCGGTATGGAAATTTGAAAACATAGAAGACCGACATTGGGAATTTTAACTTAGGATTTGAGCAAAGTGCATAGTAAAAAGCCAATAATCGAATTGCCATCATTAACCTTAATCACGCACAATTAAGACGCCTGCAAAAAAAAATTAAATGGAAAAAGCAAAAAAAAAAAACGCAAAGCAATAGAGGTTATACCATTTTTATAATTTCTATAACATTTTCAAATTGTATCATATGAATGAATTACAAACATCAACATTAGAATAATGTTCATTATACTATTTTCACGGCTATTTAAATGCACTTTTAAACCGTCATTAGTGTCGAAATATCAAATACTTAAATGTTGTAAATTCCACAGATACATCTGACGATCTAATTTAAATATCTACCGCAATAAACAAAAAGCTAATGTGCGGTCGATATTGTATATATGATATATGAATATTTGGAAATTGATTATATAAATAAATAGACACATAAAATATGGTTGAAAACTTACATATTTGGTGTATTGATTCTATATCGTATCTTTTGTGTGTGAATGCAAAACCGAATGTTAGGACAATTCACTGATTTTTTTTTTTAATATATAGTATTATCCCAATAATAAAGACCCCGACTGTGGGGCAAGGAGACATTAAATATGGATTATCTCCCTAATTAGAAGACAAACCGACATTGATTATTTAATAATTTTTTTTCGTACGGATTAACATTTGTTTTTTTCTAAGTAATATGATTTAATTTCTTCTGTCAAGGGAACATAAGGCATAATTATGTCGGTATTAGGTGTGTATTTTGATAACCTAGTTAAAATCTTTTCATAATTTCTTTTTAAAAAATCGTAGACAAAAGAAATGAAATTTGAAAACGATTTTGAAGTGGCACAAACCAATCTTGTTGACCACAAAAAAAATGTTGAAATTTGAATTTTTTTATTTTATTTTTTTTAGAAAGAAATTGTAAATTGTAATTAAAATTAAGAACAATGTAAAAACCATTATTTTTACTCAAATGCGTATTTAATCAAAATATAAATACATTATATTGAAATGATGGATTTTACGTGTGACCCCTCACGTCTAATGGAGTAGCGGAAATCACGTGAGGCCAATTGCCAAATTCATCATTAAAATAGAACATTTTTAACCTTTAATTATTTACCTTTCTTCCTTTTTCTTTTATAGAGCTCCCGAATGAAATTAAAAAAAAAAAAAGATTAATAACTTTTAATCACTATTCACCAACGAAGATAAAAATAAATAAAAAATTTTGTGCTGATAAATAAAAAATATAATATAATAGATAATTTAAATTATTCGTCTAATTATGCGTGGCTAAATATATATTTAGGGGACAAAGAATGGTGGGGTGAAAAGTGGCTTTTGCAAATTATAATCACTTCTTCTTTAGGGAGACCAAATAAGGTTAAACCCGTTTTGTCCTTTGTTGTAACTATTAAAGGCACGTAACTTTTCAAATATTATAAATTTCACCCTATTTTCTTAGGCGTTGCCTATAGCACCCAATTTTTTACACTTGATTTTGGGGTTGATACTTATTAGACCGACACTAGTTCATGGAATCTCATAATCTTTTTTTTATATATATATATAAATAAATTAAAGCTGATATTAGGATTTTCAATTATCCGAAATTTGATTTTTTAACACCATAGATATAAAAAAAAAAGTACTACTTGTATATTTGATAATATTAACAAATTCATTTGGAAGGAAATAATTCGCTGTCATGAAAAAAATGGTCCAAAAAGTTTAAAACAAACTTATAGAAATCAAATTGTGAAAATTTCACTCACTATTATAAATGCGTGAAAAAGTAAATTGAAGATATAAGTTAAATGATAAAAGGAATTATGAAAAAATGAGACATGCATGTAAATTTTCAAGATAGATTACATGTTTAACTTTAAAAAAAATAAAACAAATCATATTAAACCGAAATAATTTTCAAGTAAATTGTCCAAAATAAAAATATAAAACGAACATTAAAATGCACCAAGATAGATGAATCTTAAGCCGGAACCGGTGGGGGTGTTTTCATGAGAAGGGTTGATTACATATGCCAATATGGAAATGTGGGTCTCGTGTTTGGTCGAGAAATCATGCGAACGAACTACTATCTCATTATATGAACAAATCCATAAAAAAATAATAATAGTAAAAAGAGAAATTAGAATAATAATACCTAACTTATCAAATTTACCAAAATAAAATCCAAACTAAATTTTTTGCCAAATAAATTCCGAAGTCGCCTGAATTCTAGTGTTTCCCACATATAAACCCGAACTTTCAAAATTATATCATATTTAATCCTCAATATTGACATAACATTTGGTCGAATTTCGAAATGCCTAATCAGCATTAAGGGTTAAATATTGTATAATTTTAAAAATTCAAATTTATGTATGGAAAATACTAAAATTTAGGTGGATTCAAGATTTATTTGGCAAAAAAAAAATTAGTTCCGATTTTATTTTAGTAAATTTGACAAATTCATGCATTATTCTTCTAATTTTTCTATAAGAAAAAAGGATTAACCAAATTAATTCAATGGATCAACTTAAAACAGTTAATCAATCATTCAAGATATTTACTTGAAATGAAAAAGAACCAAAAAAGAAAAAGATAGGTCTGGTGAGAGTGGGACATTCAAATCAGATGAGGGGAGGGGTCTTCCAGCTACTGTGTTGAATGCTCAGCCCTTAGGGTTTGGACCATACTATGCTCCTCCCCCTCTCTCTTATGTCTTATGTTTTGTGGTCCTGCCTTGTTTCTGACCAACATTGATAGTGGATCACAGCAGTAAGCATCCATCCAACTTTTGTCCTTTCTGATCCAAAATTAAAAACCAAGAAATTGAATCAGACATTGAGTGATCCAATGTGGGTTTGCTGCAGAGTTTTCAGTTTGACATTTGCTGTAACTTGCTGGACAATCAAACATGGAGGAGTAATCACAACACCATCGTTTCTCCCTTCGGTATATCTCTATTCGCTACGAGAAGAACCCTAGCTCCTCCCCCGTTCACGCATTTCAGACTCTGCTTCTTCCGACCTTCCCCTGCATCATCACAACATGGCCCATGAACTTACTTTACAGACACAGAATTCAGTTTAGTCTCTGAACCAGTCTTACTGAGTATGGTTGATTCTTTTATGAACTTGTCCGCCTCTACCACTTCAACAAGTTTTAAACTTCATTACCAATCAGCTTTGGTTTCGGTTTTATTCATATCGTGAATGTGGATCTTATAAAGAGATATGGAGAAGATTTGAGAAGATTACGTAATATTTAGATTTGGTTTTGTTTCTATATTTTAAATATTTATATTTATTAAGGTCTCATTTGGGTCTAATTCAGGTCTGGATTTGTATGCATGCATGTTGTACTGCACATCTTTTATTTAGACTAATTCCTATTTCAACACAACATAAAAAAAAAAGTATACATCTTGCATTTTTTGTGAAACTTTCCAGACAAAAGTTGCATACCCTTCGCGAGGATCAAAGACAAGAAGTGGACATTCCCCTCGGCCCATCATCTTCTTGCACAGGTTCAAGGTCTCCGTGTCTTCTCTGGACAGATATCATCGAATGGTTTTCAACCATGTTTTTGCAAAACCCAAAACGGCAAGCTGTTTGCTTGTAATGAAGGATGACTCACAAATCACAATCCAATTAAAACATGTAATAAGCCGTACCTGCACGCCGCCTTTCTCAAGATCAGCTTGGTTTGCAGATCTTGGAGCCATGCTGGGCTGATAGTTGAGAGCTCATTGCTGAACTCTGTGTCTGAGGTTTTCAAGGAAGTGGCAAAGAGTCGTCATTTGCTCGAGTCTCCTCTGAAGACCTTTGCTTGGGCTGAACGGAAGAAGCTTTCTCTTCTACGTCTTCATCGCCACCAAACTGCTTGACGCATCTCATCCGGTTATAGGCACCTGTAGGCCGGTTGGGGTCAAGAAACCAATCCCAAGATATGCTGATTAAACCCATAGACCACCACCACCTCGAATGAAACTGGAATGACCCAGTCTTCCACTTGTACAGGGTTTGATCTCCACTTTCACTTGGTTTCCTGTTTTGTAGGATCACGTAAGTGATCGATCCGTTTCTCTCCTTTCTTATTTAATAAACTGAAGCTATGATGGATAAAGCAGAGAATTTTCTGCTAAAACCTTGCGTTAATTTTTCGCTTCTGATCGGGACAATCGCTGCCCTTCCTCCTCTTCTTCCTGATACTATTCAGACATTGCCACTTCCCATTAACATTCCCTTTTCCATTAAAATGGAATGGGGATTTCAAGATCTAATAGGATGAAAACATGAAGACCCAAAATCGATTTTACCTGAATCCGAGATCTGAGATGAGTCAAATGACAGTTTGATCCGGAAGAAGTCTATAATCTTTGTCTGAACAAGAGGGAAAGCTGAAAGAATACAAACTTCAGCTAGGGCACAGATTCTGAGTGTAAAAATCCCATGAATACGCAGTTGAATCAAGTGGTTTTCACATGACAAATTCGTACCAATGGTTAGGGAGTTCTTCAAGACAATGAGCGACCATTTGGAAATGATTGCAACTAATAGAATCACAGTGAAGTTTTCCAAGGCACCATTACTTCAAATCCAAACCAGTATTTTCGCAATTCACAGTAAACCCTAAACCCAAGAAATTCCAAATTCTAATCAAATTCAGAACATTCTCAAAAACCCAGAAACGGAATCTGTAAGAATCGAATCCTAAGCTCACAAATTGCATAATTATAAAAAAAAGGCGATAATTTTTTTCAGAAAATCAGATTAAGCAAATAAAAAGGAGACGCATTACATTTGGGGAGAACCTCAACCTGTGCTTAGAGCAGGAAGGCAGAACCAGGGGCCTTTAGGAACAGAAACCAGGATTTGACTGAGGCAGAAGAGATGAAAACCTCTATCGCATTTGTCGCAGAGACGCAGCTTCGCAGGTAGTTCTTCGGATCCGCACTCCTCGCAGACTGTGTCCGAATCCGAACCCGAATCGGAATTGGATTCGGAGTCACCAGAATCTGCCGCTGCATACGGTGGAGGATCGGCCCTAGGGTTTGGCGCCTGGGTTCCTCTTCGGCGAAGCACCACCATTGTCGGATTTTTCTGCTGATCAGAAGCTCCGAGCAGAGATAGACTTAGAGTACAAATGCAAAGGTGTATATCGGCCAATGAAGAGCGTTCGCGCGCTGAAAAATGCCATATGGGCTTGTGTTATATGGCGCTACTGTTACAGGCCAGTTTTACGCACTATTTCTTGGTATGGACCGGTTTATTTGGTAATATGAATATTTTCAGACGAATTTTTTAGTTCAAAAATTCATTGAAAGCTTTAATTTTATCGGTTCGCATTGTAATTATCTTGTAACCTCAAAAACCTATTCAGTTAAGATATATATATGTCCATTATAATTGAAAACTACAGCCAATGATTAAACCAAGACCCGGTTTTGAAAACCGATCGATTTGACCGGTGTACAAATCCCAAGCCCAAGCCCAGTAAATATCCCAAAACATGCAGAGAAGATTATACTGGAAAAAAAAGTCAAAAGTCTTCTCCTCCCCTTTTCTCTTATGGATTGCAATTTGAAGATTTATCTGGTCTCCTCCACCGACTCGCCCGAGTTCACTAGCCTGACTCGGTTCCTGACTCGCTCTCCGATCGTCGCATTCGATGCCGAATGGAAGCCCCTTCGTTCCCCTTCCTCGTCGTTCCCAACCGTCACTCTCCTCCAGGTCGCTTGTCGACTCGGCCACGACTCGGATGATGATTCGGCTGTTTTCCTCATCGACCTGACCTTGATTCCTCTCCCGTCCGTGTGGGAGCTATTGCGGGACGCCTTCGTGTCGCCGGATGTGCTGAAATTAGGGTTCCGTTTCAAGCAGGATTTGATTTACTTGTCCTCTACATTTACTCAGCGAGGATGCGAAAGTGGATTCCACGAGGTAATTTCTTGTGCTACTTTCCTCTTCCTTTTTTAGACCGAGAAAATGTGCTGAAGCAGTGAAATTCTGCAAATCTCGTTGAAATTTCAGTTTTAGTTTACACCCATTTAAATTATACTTTGGACTTATGCGAACTGTTAATTGGTGTGTGTTCATAAAGCTCTTGCTTGCTCATCTCCCATTGACAGTAATCTGGAATCTTTGTTTGTCGAAATGTAGGAAACTGATTGGTTTCACCAATTTTTCATATTTGAATGCAATTCCCAGCAAGAGAAGTTTTTGGTAGGAGTGGTGTTTGGATTACTTTCTATGTAGATATGATTGAACGGTTGGCTAAACTTCAATTTTTATAGCTCTTGTATTATTGTTAGGTTCGAGAATTATTGCATTTTGAGCATGTTTGGTGCAAATATATGGATGAATAATATATAGTTTATCTGTAAATTGAAGCCCTTTATCGTTTTCAAGCATGCAGCTTCACCCGGTAAACTCATGTAAGAATGACATGCTTATTGGATCTGCTTGCTAATGTTGAACAGGTGAAGCCCTACTTGGACATCACAAGCATATACAATCACCTACAGCATAAGCGGATTGGTAGGCAGGCACCAAAAGATATCAGGAGCTTGGCAGCTATTTGTAAGGAAGTGCTTGGTGTTTCATTGTCAAAGGTTTGTCTCTGTTTTCTCTGAATGGAGTTATTGGTCTGGTCAAAACCTAGGGCATTATTACTGAGAGGAACTGTCGTCTATAGCTGCATAGAATAACGTAAGAGAAGGTTTGGATCGCTCCTTAGTCCTTACCCTATGGCATGTGTTCTGTAACTCTGTTTTGGACTTTTGTTTTTATGGGTTGTCATAAAGTTCGATATCATGGAGAATCTAGGCATTTTTCATGCTTCACTTGTTATTTAAGAAAAATAATGTTTCATGTAGGTGCAACTTTGGTGTATAGGGTGAAATTGAATAGGAAACGCAAAGGCAGTTAACCCTCATAGAGTTTGTAATTTTTCCTTCTAGTTCTAGTCCTGTTCTGTTTTCTTAATGTTGGTGGCAGTTCTAGAGAAATTTATTCTTGATGAGGCCTTTTAACAAGGTTGTCTCTTCTTTAGGAACTACAATGTAGTGATTGGTCACTTCGCCCTCTTACAGAAGCGCAGAAACTATACGCTGCTACAGATGCTCACTGCTTGCTCCAAATATTTGCTGTATTCAAGGCCAAGCTTGTTGAAGATGGCATCACAGAGCTGGACTCTTCGGACTTGAATGTTGGCCTAAGAGAAATTCTTGAGATATCAAATCATGGGAATACTATAGTCACAGTTAAAATTTGCAAGGCTTTAGATGTAATCAGAGCAACATCCGAAAGTTGTCAAAGCCTTGCCAATGGAGTGGTTTCGAGAAAATCAATCCGAAATACCATGCCGATGGATGAAATCCTGTTGAAGATTGTCAGGAGGTATGGAGAAAGGATTTTGTTGAAGGAATCTGATCTTCGACCAAAGAACTCCAAAAGGAAAGCAAGAAGGCGTGTCGCTTCGAATACTGTGGACAGAGACAAGCAGTTGTCCTGTTGTGGGGATTGGCAAGGCCCTCCACCATGGGATGCATCTCTGGGTGGTGATGGCTGCCCAAAATTTCTCTTGGATGTGATGGTAATCAGATTCATTGCTGTGCACTTTTGCATTTCTTGAATTTACTGAACTTGAATTTTGGCATTGGAAGCAGAAATGAGAGGAAAACAGCTCTCTGGATTCGGCATTTCCTTTTTATGATCTTGTAATATGTTCTGTTGCATTTCTTCTTTAACTTGCACACTGGCTGAAAATCTTTTCCGACTTTCACATGAGAGTGTAGTGTAGACTTGTAATGATTTCAGTGGATGGCAATCATGATTTTGACCTCAAACAGTTTCGTTGTTTATGCGTTGAATTATCTTCTGCTAATTTTAATTCCCATATCAAATCGAAAGCTTATGAAACATCTGCATAATAGGTTGAAGGTTTGGCCAAACATCTACGGTGTGTGGGAATAGATGCTGCAGTTCCACATTCGAAGAAGCCGGAACCAAGGTATCTTTTTTCCCAAAAATATAATGAAACTTATTCTCTGTGATGTGGGTTCCACTGTTTGTTTTCCCCCTTAATTTGCTATAATGCCAGGGAATTGCTTGATCAAGCATACAGAGAAAACAGAGTTCTCTTGACAAGGGATGCAAAACTATCAAGACACCAGTACTTGGGGAAGAATCAGATATATCGAGTCAAGAGCCTTCTAAAAAACGAGCAGCTACTCGAGGTACGGGGAAAAAAAAATTACTCCTAATATGAAGATCCGGGAACTGGCTCTTTTACTGAATTATTCGGTCTTTAAGAATTTGACTGAATAATTTTGTTCGAGTGAGTTCCCTTCTGAAAACTAAACTACACCCCCCCCCCCCCACTACATTGTACTTTTACTTCAAGTGTTTCAGTTGTCAACATGTCAAATAGAATGGTGATGAATTTCATTACAGGTGATAGAGACTTTCCAGCTAAAGATCAAAGAGGATCAATTGATGTCGAGATGCACGAAATGCAACGGGAAGTTTATTCAGAAACCTCTAACCATTGAAGAGGCCATTGAAGCAGCAAAGGGTTTCCAAAGAATTCCCAACTGCTTATTTAACAAGAATTTGGAATTCTGGCAGTGCATGAACTGCCACCAGCTTTATTGGGAGGTATACACCCCCCCACCCCATTTGCTTTTCTAAGGGTTGGCCCCCAAAAAAAATGCTTCTTGACACATTTGCATATCTTTTTATTTTCTTGCAGGGAACTCAGTACCATAACGCTGTGCAGAAGTTTATGGAAGTATGCAAGTTGAATGAATGATTATTTTTCTTTCATACTCATTTTTTGTATCTTGTCTTTGAACTTTGGTGTCTTGTCTTGTCCCTGAGTATTGGAACTCACCGTTACATATTTGTAATTTGCACATTCTTTTGGGTAATTTGTTTTCTATTTCCGTAATAAATTATTAGATTTGGTTGAATTTGGTACAACGGATCGCTTTGAGCATGTATACATATTGTTTAATTCATTAGGTTAATATCTTGATTCGGCCTACTTCTGAAAACTAAACTAACCCCCCCCCCCCCACTACATTGTACTTTTACTTCAAGTGTTTCAGTTGTCAACATGTCAAATAGAATGGTGATGAATTTCATTACAGGTGATAGAGACTTTCCAGCTAAAGATCAAAGAGGATCAATTGATGTCGAGATGCACGAAATGCAACGGGAAGTTTATTCAGAAACCTCTAACCATTGAAGAGGCCATTGAAGCAGCAAAGGGTTTCCAAAGAATTCCCAACTGCTTATTTAACAAGAATTTGGAATTCTGGCAGTGCATGAACTGCCACCAGCTTTATTGGGAGGTATACACCCCCCCACCCCATTTGCTTTTCTAAGGGTTGGCCCCCAAAAAAAATGCTTCTTGACACATTTGCATATCTTTTTATTTTCTTGCAGGGAACTCAGTACCATAACGCTGTGCAGAAGTTTATGGAAGTATGCAAGTTGAATGAATGATTATTTTTCTTTCATACTCATTTTTTGTATCTTGTCTTTGAACTTTGGTGTCTTGTCTTGTCCCTGAGTATTGGAACTCACCGTTACATATTTGTAATTTGCACATTCTTTTGGGTAATTTGTTTTCTATTTCCGTAATAAATTATTAGATTTGGTTGAATTTGGTACAACGGATCGCTTTGAGCATGTATACATATTGTTTAATTCATTAGGTTAATAGTAGAATTCCAAATTGATATAATATGCTTCAGATATAGATAGAATCAAATCATAATATCATCATTTTTTTTCCAATAAATCCCCACAACATAGAGCCTTTTGGATCCCACCTAATCGTGGTTTTATTTTCATATTATTTGTGTATCTCCACGACTTCTCGACCACCATTCGTACGTCCACAGTGGCATGAACGTTTCGTTTTTACACCTTTTAACCCTTCAGCGCTGCAATTCGAATCAAATCTTTCGTGATATGAGTCTGCACATACATACATACATACATATATATATATAGTCTCTAACATGAAAAGAAAAACAATTGTGGGAGAGTAACTCACGTTGGGTTTGAGAAGGAGAGAAGACATGGACTGAACATGTTCTCCGGTGGTCGGATGCGAGAGAGGAGTGTTGCCAGACGAAGACAAAGGCCCATCTTGCCAAACCGTGTTGATCGACCCATCACTTCCCACAATCTTGGAGATCTCCAGATTCGCGAACACAACCATCTCACTGTTCTTGTAACTCGCAGACACCCCGGACACGTTAAAACTCAGACCACCCTCTCGCAGAGTCGTCGAGTAGCTCCCGATCGGCGACGTGTATGCCCGGACGGAGCCGTCGTTTTTCGGGTAAGCGACGATGGCCTGAGAGCCGACCATGCCGGAGGATGTCGGATTGACGGCCCAAGCGACCCAATTCTCCGGCGAGAGGTTGGTGCGGCGGTAAGCGATTTTGAGGATACCGGCGGAGGAATCGTAGGTGTAGTGGAGGAAGGAATCGAGGACAGAGAGGTCGTTGCAGGATTCGAAGACATGGCCGCTCTGAAACTTGTAGTTAGAACATGTCTGAGCGGAGCATGGAGTTAATGTTACGGAGATTACGGCCGAGAGAATGAGAAGAGGATTCGGGATTCTGGCCATTGGTTTGGTTTATGTATCAGAAAACGTGAAAGATTCAATTGGGAATGTATAGATTAATATACAGAGAGGGAGGAGAAGCTTGAAGGTGAAGATCTTTTATGACTTATTATTCATTTATTTATAATATTATAATGCAAATTACTTCTCGTCGTGTTATGTAAATAGTGTTTCTAATTCATGCATGACAAATTATAATTGACAATGCCCATCCGTGCAAATGATAACACATTTTCATTCTTGCTACTTGTGCGAGGTGAATAATAATAAGAATCGATATTGATGAAATCTTTACACCTCTCAACTACCAGCAATTTTTATATTTTTCGTGCCAAACTCCTCCACCTTGGCACCCAATTCATTTTCCTTTTTTCTTTTTAAAACATTCGCAACCTCTCCAACCATAACTCTATTAAATTATCATGGACGGGGTTTGTGCATCTTTCCATTGCATACCTATTAGCTTATATAACTTTATATTATATTACCGTCGCAGATAAAACTTTCCATGTACTGATAATTGACTTGCAAATTGTCGGAATAAATATATATTAACTTTTGGAACAAGTCATTCTCTCTCTCTCTCTCTCTCTCTTCATTTTTAGAGTGGATTATGACGGAATGCGGTGAAGAGACGAGGATGCATTTTTAACCCCAGTTTATGGAGAGACCAACTTTTATATCATTACCCAAACCCAAAAGAAAAAAAGTGTACAATGTACTGTGTTTCTTTTCCAATTACTAGCAATATGGAGAATTGAATGAGAGAAAATTGACAAGTGCACTTTTTTTTGGGACAACATCAACAAAATTTAAAAAGAGAAGGAGAAAAAAAAAACAAAAGTTTAGGAATTGGGTTCCAGCTCCATTAGAGGTTAAGTGGTTCAGCTTCTGAGCTCCTATCCTTCATTGGAATCCAATCTTCTGTCTCTGAAAGAAAGAGAAACCAAGAAACATGCAAACCACTCTTTGGTCAACAATTCTGTTTCATAAATGTTCGGTTTATTCTCTTCGATTCTCCCAAAACTTTTATATCACATATGAAGATTGACAACGAAAGCAACCAGCCAGTGTGAAGTCTGAGGAGGGAAGAAACGTACTTGGCTTGTCGGAGATTACCATAAGCCTACGTTGCAATATCGACGCAACGAAGAGAAAGATTGAGCACATCCCAAACATTATCGTTATCGGAAACGCATCAACCTGCCATCGTAACAAAATCATCACAACAGTTATACTAAAAAAGTATATATACATGTATACATGTATAGACGAGGGCATTCGTTGCTTACATTGTACAAGATGACGCATACAAAGATGTTGAGGGGAATACGGAAGAAGTTCATGATGGTGCTCCTTGCCTCTTCGGGGATATACTGAGATCTCATCTTCATTATCGACGGCCAGAATATCCCCACGCACGCCTCAAACACACAGAATCCCACTAGTTGAACGCATCCTCCGTACGACATTCCTCCCCCTTTCACCTCACTCGGCTTCACCAACACCTGAATTGGATTTTTACCACTTCCTTATTGACTTGGTTAAATTGCCCTCTTTTAAATCCCAGTTCATGCCATTTGTGCCTCAATTCCGAATGATATTATCATGTCAACTGAAGCGGAATAATAGTAAAAGCGGAAGAGTTTGAAGACGTACACTTGTTATGGTGGGAAGGAGAAGAGTGGCAGAAGAGACTAGAAAGACGATTTGCATGTAGCTTTCGACTCTAGGAGACGAGCGTGCCATGAGACGAGCGGCTAGTGAGCTTCCCAGCATCGAAGCCAACATGAACGTCGCGAATATAAATCCATGCGGGATTTCTTCGTCGTTTGGGCTGAGAGCTGGCGTCCACAGGAAAACAAATGTGTACATCGATCCTTCAAACAGAGATTGAATGGCTCCCAGTAGTGCGATTTTTTCGTCTGAGGCATAAGAGAATGTAATATGTGAGATCTGAAAACCGGAAACAGAAATAAATTTACACGAGAGAAGGTCACGTGTGAAAGTGCTTTGATATGATCTCATATATCAAGTAGAATGAGACTCCACTTTTAATGTAACTATCATCAACCTACCTGAAGCAATGGTTATGGCAGCAACCTTGAACTGGGTGAGCAAATCTTTACTATCAGATGGATCTCCGAAATTCTCAGTCCATGTTGCCAATATGATGGCCATTCCAATTGCAAGAATACATGCAGCAGCATCAAAGGGCGCAACAGGTCCGAGAGAAAAAGTGTCAACAAGTAGATTACCGAACAATCCAGCGAGAATAGCCAGCAGACCATTCCCAAGGAAAACAGCCTTAGAGAATGTCAATGACAGCCATTGTTGCTCAAAGTTCCTCTACACATTCAGAAAAGGGAGATCTCCAATTAGGTCATGACCAAAACTAATTGAATCACCCACATGTTTGTAATTTTTTTATTTCTTCATCCTACAATTTTCTACAGAGATCACAAATGAATTCCGAAATTCTAGATATTTTGAATCCCCAAAAAGGACACTCTCCAGTAACTTTTGAAATGAAATACCACAGGGGAATTGAAATAAAATAAATGTGGAGTAATCGAGATATTGTCTTGGTTCAGAGGGAAACTGCAGTCCAATCCAACAAAATATCAGACCAGCAATCACACTCAAGCAAATAAACAGTTCATGAATCACCCCTGAAAAAGGCATTTAGTCCATACTTAGAAATGCAAGAGAAGTAAAAAAGGCAAATGCTGACCTTGTTGTGCTCAGCAATGAGCCATGACTCAAATGATGAAAACAGGAGAGATGTTGCAATACCGCCCAAGATGCGGCCAACCATCAGAATTCTGTACTGAGGAGAATGCTTGGTGATGCAACTAAGTATGTAAGTTATGCAGTATGTAACACACGCCCTCCTTCGTCCCCTGAATCCAAATACACAAAGATATTATTTCCCTTAGCAATGGAATTCTCCTTGGATCACACGGATATCAAGTTAAAAGAGAAAATGTCTCACTGTTTGTCGGCCAGAGATCCCACAATTGTTCCAAACACCATTGATGAACCAAAACCGGCAATAAACAGCTGCCCGATATCTCCTTTTCCAAAACCATAAGTGCTGTAAAGGTAATACACATATGGACCCTGAAGCCAGTCTCCAGCTGTAGTAACATGTACATACAAGTGTATCAGCAAGAGTAGGGATATTTGACTTCCAAAAAATTACATACATACTTCGCCTCAGCATGTGCTTCCAAAGTTTTCTATCAATTTCAGCTGAAATCTCCCATCCCTTCAACCGATCAAATTCCAAGAAAATAGTCCAATAGATTAAACTGAAAACAGCCCGATATATTCCATCAACCTCTCCTGAAATCCTCAATCCACGACGTGATGATCGAACGTCTGATTCGAGGGGAGAAAAACCTATTTAACACTTAAAGTCCGTCTTGATTCGGCCTATGACACCAGAAGAATACGACACCTAGACGAATTGATGAAACAAAAAATGAAATACCGATTCATGTACTCTCGTCTCACTCCGGACGTCAAAAGGACAAATACTCCTATTACGTAGATCTGATCCACAACAGGGATAGTAATCAAATTACAGGCTCCAATGATGCATAGAACAGGTCCAGGTCTAAAAGCTCGAAACTAACATAAGGAGAGACCAAAAAACGGACAAGATCTTACGCACAGAGAGAGAGGTTCACAGACCAAATGAGCGACAACGAGTGAAAGGAGATTTCGAGATAATTTGAACGGATAAATGCAATGATGCCGGAAAACGTACCCATCATGAGGGAGAAGACGAGGAGGTAATTGTTCTTGAAGGAATTGAAGGCAGCGGAAGTGTTGATCCGATCCTTGTTCGTCTTGCTCAGCTCCAACACCGCTACCACAGCCGCCATGGCTCCAAACACCAAGAAGTAGAAAACCTCCATTGTTGCTTGTCTCAAAGTCGCAGCTACAGAGGAGAGAGAGGGGAGAAGAAGAAGAAAATGCCACTGGGAGAGAGAGAGAAGCGAGAGAGCGTGTGTAATTGTACCGAACCAAGACGATAGAAGGTTTTATCTTCTGCTTCGCGGTAATGGTACACCGGTGCACCTCGATTTTAATATCCAATCTGGATACTACAAATATCCAATCTGTGAAGAATAAATGATGACATGGTAAACATCTTCTGTCAAACAAAAACCAAATCGCTACAGTTACAGTCCGGGTCAACATTCGGTTTACAAAATGAATGTGCTAAACCGATCAGCGGTTAGCTCCAAAAACCGATCGCAAACCAAGCCGAGCTGGATCTAGTTTGCACTAATGATCCCTAAACCGATTCTCTATCTCACAGAGAAGCGAAACAGTACCAACCAATGTCATCAGTCCGTTTAGGTGTTAGCCATGTCTGGTTTGCACCAACCCATCATCGGTTTTACATAGAACCGTACCAGAAACCAAGCATAACCGGACCGACCCCGTAGTATTTAGGACATGAGAGAGGCTCTTGCCATTGCTAAAGCTCCATCATAGGTCCGGTTTGCAGCAATGAAACCGCTCATATGGACGAAAACACAGCCAGGAATGGATGTCTCGGCCGAAAGCTTCTCGTTCTCGAGGCCCCTCCATGAAAGCGGGAACCCTTTCCGGCTTTCAAATCTGTCTGGTGAAACCGCCACTGCCTGGATTCTCCAGTTTGGGCTTCTATCGTCCTACATGATCGCAGCACGAGAATAACCAGAAACTTCATCAATGGGTTTTCATGTAATGAACTTAGACAGATATCCGTCGAGAAACAAATGAGGTATCTACCTGGTAAAGAACGTATTTGATGGGAGGATCTATCTTCATTTCCTCCTCAAGCTCGAATATGTGGAGCTTCCACTGTCAATTTCCAAAAGAAAACTCAGAAAAACATTAACGATCGTCCGTTCCTGCACGTATATACAAGCACGCAATTTATATATGCATGTATTTCTTAGAAACTTTTCCTTTTACCAAATATGAATCCCCACAAGTAACAAGGTTTGGATCATGAATGAAGAAGAAGAAACCTTGTAGAAGTTGCAATTTTGAAGGTAGATTATAACTATAGAGTATAGACTACACTGGATAAGCGGCCTAAATGATGCATTCATTATACACACACATACATATATATATACACACACACACATTCTATGGTCAATATGCATATAAACTATCACGAAGTATATTCCTCTGTTTGTTGACATGGAAAGTTCACAGTTCTGGAAGTGAGAATTTCTCCGGAATGCGAGGTTTTACTCAGAGGAAGAAAAATATAATGACATTCTGAGAAACATACATGTACAAGAGTACGAGGCTGTATGCTTAAGACTTGAAGCCGCATTATCAGAATAAATAAAAAAATTTATCAGTAATTTGGAAGTTAAATAAAAGGGGTATTATCACTTACCGGGCACTGTTTCTTCAGAACCATTATTTCTCCACTGGAGTCTACCTCCTGCCGCTCTGCAATACACTCCTTGACAATTGATCGAGCAGGTAACCATGATTTCGCGTGAAAATGCACACACTATCAGAAGGGAGAACCCATTTAGATGCATACCCCCGTCAATACAGAGGTCAGTATTTACAATGGTAAATAAACATATGTAAAGACCAAATAACTTCCATAACTAATCAATTCTACTAAAACAGGGGAGACAGAATCAGTTCGTTGTTTCATGTACGTGTAACCATCAAAGCAAGCTTCTAGTTTGGTGTTGGTTCAGTCTCCTTGATCATCAAGATTCTACATCTCTCTAGTTTGCTTATCGGGTAAAATTTGTTCAGTCATTCGGTTTTGCTTTTTGCGAGTTGCACCATTATTTGCCATGGAGGAACCTTGAACAAGAACCACAAGATCTTAGGAAATTACATGAGATATAGAAATAATTAAGAACCTCCAAGAATTCTGAGCCAGCAAGTTCCATTGCCCTGTGAAAGGCCTCGTCTTCCTTCTCGGCAGATTGATCGAGTTCGGTCCAGTCTAAGTTCAAACGCCCAATTCTATGTGCCAAGCTCGTACTGTTTACATATCTTGGAGGCTGGTCAGTGCCATACTGATGGATTCCGTTGTCAATAGCATCTACAGCCTGTTGTAATAATACATCACTGCTTACCTTAGATCCGAGTTGAGCGATACAGCATAGTAACTTCCAACTTTCAAAATGTAACTAACAGTCTATAACATCAACTGAAATATCTAACTTTGCAAAATGTTGAGGGTCTTTACATTCTTCAACAGTATACCATTACTTTGATGATTCAGCTTGTTCTGTACATGTATAGTTTACTAAAAAAAACGAAGAACATACGCTGGCTTAAATAGAAAGAACATAAATACCTCGATGAAATTTTTGTAGATAGCGAGGAACAATCGCTGAACATCGGGATGTCCCTGATCAAGTTGCAGCTCCTTAGCGATTATCTCCAAGCCATAGTGCTATAACACCAAAAAAAGAAAACTGATTATATCAGGAGAAATCTGGGAAAAGTTTTAGTGAGAGAAAGCAGAACGAAAACAGGGGATGAAACTTTTCTCGGGTATTATTCATTCTTAACTTCAACTTAAATACAACTGTAACATATGCATACACTGATACAATTCACTCTCTCTCATTCTGTTGAAATACAACTGTATATCTAATAGATTAGATATCAAGACACCTTCCACTCATTCCCCAAAAGCACAAGAAAGGGTCTTTTGCTCTTTACCTTATAGACAAGGCCGGCACTGCTGAGTTTAGTGTTAAATCCATGGCCAAACACGTCGGTAAAGCCCTTTTGATGATGGTCATATCGGTCAGTTTTTGGATCATAGACACCTCCCACATCAAGAACTGCATCAAGTGTCTCTAATACCTTTTTGAACCACATTACAAATTCATCAACCACTTCACCAAAAGCCGGATCCGATAGGGATAGACGTAACCCACCCACCAAACTTACAGAAAAATATTGGCTTTGACGCTAAATGTTCTTAACTATTCATTGGCCATTTCAACCGAATAGCATTGCAAGTAAATTCACATCTAGTACTTGCACTATGGAATGAATTCCAGATTGTATTTTCTCAATGGTTTTATACATACAGGTATTATGGGTACCACAAATTTACAGACTTGATATTTCCTTATATTTTCGAAAAATTTCCAGAAAATTCACACAGCGAGACACAGATTAAACAGTGAACGATGGTAGGGTAGGGTACCAGGGGATCTCTGGTACGGACGATATGGGCACCGGAGAACTTGGGGGAGAGACGGATGAGGAAGCAAGCTAAGGTTTCGTCGCAGTGGAAGCTTCCATTGTGGGTCCCAACCCGCTTCTGCTTCCCTGCCGCCGCCTTCATCGTCGTCGTCTTCGAGAGCTCAGCTCGGAAGTTTCTAGAGAGGTCCAGAGACAGAGAATGATTCCAGATTTTTCCACACCTCGAATTTCGAATTCCATTGCAAAAACTTCTCACACCAAACATGGCAGATCGATGAAACTGTACCCGATTTCATCAAACGCTCAGGCTTCAAGGTTTAAACCCCGAGTGATGGGATCGTTGTTTGCTTGGAGGGTTTAGCTTCACCGAAAACGGCGCCGTTTTACCCTTTAATTAAAAGGGAAAATTTTATTTTCTGCGTCAAATGGTAATGTTCTAATTAAATGAATGATTAATCGTATGAATTAAATTACAAATTACATATGTTATATACTTCATTCGAACGCAAATCATTGTACGTGATCAACGAATTCCTCACCCACCACCATTGATGAATCATGAATGCATCCAAAAAAAGAAATTGAGTGACGTACAATTAAATACATCCAACGAACACCAAAAGATTCATAATTTAGATCGAGAAATTATAAAAAAAATAAAGAAATAATGTATAAAAACCATATTCCATCAAACACTTGGACGACGGTGTGAGTGAGTGGATGAACGATGTCTCCCTTCATCGCCATCTTCTTCGTCGTCGCGTTTCCGTTCACAAACGCAGTCGTCCCCAACCCAAAAACGCAAACGCTGATCGCCAGAATCTGCTGCCAAACTACCGATTTCGCGTTCTGCAACTCCTCGATCACGGTTTCGTTGCCGTCATCACGCGCGGGGATCGCGACAATCGCGCGGCTGACAGCCGCGAACGCGTGGATCAAAGCGATAGAGACGCTCGATTCGATCAGAAGCTCGCTCATTCCCAAGGCGAGGGATCCGAGGGACAGGGAAGAGTTCGTGACGTGCGAGAAGGCGTACAGATCGGTGGAGTCTGATCTCGACAACGCTTACAGGTTCCTGTTTCTCCGACAGTATCGTGTCGTGAGGGCATATCAGGCTCTGGCGCTTGAGAATCTTCACAAGTGTAAGACCGATTTCTTCCGTACGACTCCGATGGTGTATGCGAATTGGAAAGTGAGGATGTTGATGAGCATGGCGATATATGCCGCCCGTATTCTCTCTCCTCCACCTCCGCCTCGTCCGACAGAGACAGAGACGCCATGAACGGAGCTTCGTTTTGTCTTGTCCTAAACAACGCGGGAGTTTGCCAAAAACCTTAACAGATTGTGTCTCAAATATTCATATTCAGTTTAATTTTAAGTTTTGGATCAGATTTGAATACATACTTGCTAATTAAACGTAGCCTTATAAAAAAAAAACGCGGGAGATTTTTATTCACATTCAACCAAAAAAAAACGTGGGAGATTTTCTTTATTATTTAAATTCATAAAAGAAGGTTTTTTTATTCATAACCTTTGCCATTGATATGTCTTTTTTGCTTTAAAAAATATTTATCTGTGAAGCTGTTTTTTTTTACTATGTTTAATTAGCAAGTATGTATTCAAATCTTATCCAAAACTTAAAATTAAACTGAATATGAATATTTGAGACAATCTGTTAAGGTTTTTTGGCAAACATCAGGAATTTCTGAACCAAGAAGAGGCTCTGGGCTGAGTAAAAGTATTAGTTAATGAGACGCAGCGTTTTTTTGGTGGAAGGACTATTTTGGAATTTCAAGGCTAAAGGTTGTTAGTCGATTGTCGATTGTACTTCAATGGTGACCTCGTAATTTTGATAATTCCAATTTTATCCTTGAATATAATAATTGTTTTTTATTATTATTTTATTCAGAAGATTTTAATTCGTTTTTGAAAAAAACTCAATGTTTTTTTTATCCAGTTTAATGTTTTTTCTAAAAATGGGAGCCAATGTCCGTTATAATTATCTTTTGACGAGGTTTCCTAAAGTATTCAATTTTTATTTCTTTCATTGTGATTAATTTATTTAGTTCTGTAATTGTATTATTAATTTGTTTTTTTTCTATTAAATATTGCATTCTTCTTAAACTGTCTACTGTTTCGAAATGTCGTACTGGTGTATCTAATAATTCAATATTTTTTTATATATTTTTTCTATTTTATTCGTCAATAATATCTCTTATTATTTCTCTTATTGCATTAAATATTGCACTAATCATTTTTATCTTTCGATTTTCTTCATTAAACCATTTCGTGATATTGGTCCATTAGTTCGTTCTCTAAATATATTTTCTATTGTTTCAACTAATAATTGTTCAAAATGATCAAAACATGCTAGACTTTCGAGATTTAGTACGGATAGTTTTTCAATAAAATCTTCGTTCAAATTCATCTGGTAAGACTGTTGATTTGTGATATCGTTTTTCTTAATTTAGAATAATCTTTTTCAATGTTATTGTCCGATTGTTCAGTATTGAATAGTAGATATGGTGGTTCTAGTATTCTTAATCTTGGATTCAGACGTAATCTTGGATTCAGACATAATCCGATTTTAAACATATTACTGGTTTAAAAAAATCATCTATTTCGATTATATCTTTGTTCCTGAAATTTAGACTATGATAATTATTTGTTAATGCATAATTGATCTGATAAGTTATAGAGAAAGGATGATTTCATTTTTCCATAAAATCTGTTCGATCTAGTTTGTATTGAATAACTATAGAGTTATCCAGATTCCTATCTTTTAATGATAATCCAAGTTGGATATTGATATTGAATTTAATCTTTCCGGAAGAAAGGTTTCCTTTTCCTTCTGCTATAATACTTTTAGTGTAATTTGTTAGTCTATCGTCTCTGATCTGAAAGGTAATCGGTGAATCGATTCTTTCTTTAAATGTTGATTTGATGATTATCTAAATAGTACTACAATGTGTGTAGGCTATTTGGTTTCTTTGTTTATCTGGGCAGTTTTTCAACCGTTCTAGAATTTGTTCTTTGTTAATGATCGGTAAGATTAATTCTCCTGTAGTTTGTTCAATTGGTACTAGTGTTTCTCCTACCATGATCCCGAATTTTATTATGTTTTTTCGTGATAATTGTTTCTTTATTTTTTCTAGTATGGTTTGTTCAAAGTTTTCATCTATCTGAAGATCGAAGTTGATCTTTCTTATCTTGTTTATATCGATTATTCCGTCAAAGAAATAATCTGCATCTGATTGTATAAAATTATCGAATACAAAGGTTGATGATATACTTGATTCGTTTGTGTAGATAATAATTCATGTTGGTTGGTGTTGGTGATGATCGTTTTCTTGTTGGTGATCCGGAGATCTAATCGGTTTTTTCCAGAGTTCTGGAATAATCTGTTTGATGATTTGAAATATTCTAATCAAAGGCCTCCAGAAGATCGGAATCTTCAAGCCGATCTCTCAAAGAGATCCTTAAGAGAGTTCTGAAATATAAAGATTTATTTACACTCTGTCTTCTCCAAATGGAGAGATCACATATTTATACAACTTTGGAACCCTTATCAGCTAATAATGTAATCTTATGCTGGGGCCCGAATTTTACACGCGTCACTACATAATTAAATACTACAGATTACAACGATGAGGTTTTTGTTAACATTATCTTTTATTGGAGCCTACTACCGACAATATAATTTACATGATCAAAAGTCGTTACTTTAATAACGTGTCTGCCGACTGATCTTCTGATGGTGGTTGGCTGTTCTTTTTCATTTTGTCATTTATCTCCTTGCAGATAGTACATTTGTGATCATCATACCTCATCAGGAAGCTGCAAAGCTGTTCCTTGATGGATTCTTCTAATCCTGCGAATTTTCCTTCTAAGTGATAGAAGTCTAATTCGAAATCTGCTACTACTTGCATTTCTTCCTTAGAAATAGTCGAATTGTTGTAGGTTATGATTAATACATTGTTGCTGGTATAATTGACTTTGATCTCTGAATCCGCAAGGATTCTTCTTGATGCTTTGAATACTTCTAATAATGAGTGAGCTTCCAGATCATCCGGAATCTCATATTCTGATGCATCATCTCTTGAAGGCAAATCTTCTTTTGTTACTCCAAGGTGTATTACAGCCTGTGACTGAATAATCTTTTCCTTTCCAAAGATCGGAACTTAACTCTTAATCTTCAGAAAAACAGTTCTTTCCTTCGCGAATCGTTCAAAATAATTCCTGATAATTGGTTTCATCTTTTTTGGGAATTCTTCGAATATTCTCATCGAGTCAGTATAGATATTGTCGACTAGTCCAAGTTGAAGATAATCAAAGGTTAATAATGGGTTGGCTTCTTCAATGAAGATAGCCTTTGGTCCGACTCTGGTCATTTTTGGGTAAAAACCCATGGTAGTGTGTTTTTTTTTTGTAGTCCACTAAGGATGCTCACTAGGACTGGTATTTCTCGAGGGTGACCTTTTTCAGAGCCTTTTTTTCTTGTGTGGTTGATATTTGTGCTATTCTTGGTATTTTCATCGAGGGTAGTTGGGCTTTTGGTTTAACTAGTTGTTTTTGGGTCATGGTTTTGTATGATTCATTCAGGGCTTTTTGGGTCTCTTCTTTGGTCTGGAAAGCTTGGTGTGAAACCTCCTTTCCATTGGTATGTTGCGAAAAGATCGCATAGTCCGCTTAGATTCCTCTGAATGGTCCGCTGAAAATAGCATACCATTTATTCGGTTTTTCTTCCACCTTGATGTCGGTAGGAAGTGTTACCTTGTCTGATTCTTTTATTGCTTGTTCATGTTTTTGATCTACTTCTATTAGTGTTCCACCAGTTGCTTTTATAATGATGTTCAGGGATTTAATCAGCTCATCCCTCTCCTCAAAGAGTTTTTAGAGATTTTCCTGAATATTCTTGATCTAGTTGTCTTTTTGACTGATCTGATTTTGAATTGCTTTGATTATTCATTCCATTCTCTTGTTAGAGTGTGTGCAAAACAATTGTTTGGTGACTTAATATATTTAATATATGGTTCATATTGGTGCAATTCTAGTTGCCATCTGATTAATCGTCCTTTTCGGAATTCTGGTTGTATTTTATACCTCCAGAATCCTGTTACATATTACGAATCAGTTCGTAATTCGAACATTTTTCCATTTCTTCAAGGTTCGAATACACGCAAGTGTTTCGAGCTCGTGAATTGGATAATTCATCTCTGTTCGTGAGAATGTTCCTGAGATATATTTGCATAATATTGTTTTTTGTTTTTCAGTTTTTGGTGCTTCATTATTATTAGTACGACCGTATTGGTCAAGATGGAGTAATTCTTTTCTATCCTTTATTGCTATCATGCATCCTGCCTAAACTTCTTTGGATGCATCTGTTTCAATAATCAAGAAATCTTTGATCGTTGGATTGTATAATCGTGGTAATACCTTGATATTCTCTTTTATATGTTTTGCCAAATTTGTATCATGGTTAGACCAAGACCATGGTATTTTATCTGATATCTTCTTTTGTAATTGTTTTCGGTCTTTTGCTAGGGATTTCAGAAATCCTTGTTCAGAAACATAATTCAGACACTCAAGGAATCTTTGAATTTGTTTTCTGTCTGATAGTTCATTCGGAAAATTGTTGTATTTTTTCATAAACATTAGTTGTTAATTCAATTTCTCTATTATGATTTATCTTTAATCCAAGATATTCAATTTCTTGTTGTATTAATTTTGGTTTCTTTTTAGAAATTATTAGTCCTTTTTCTTTGCATCTTTCTAAGACGCTGATCAACTTTTCAGTGTGATCTGATCGTGATCCATTTGTGAATATTATAATATCATCAAATGTAAGCTAGACAATATTCTTCTAACCCATGGAGATTTCTATCCATGAATTGTTGGTATATTGCTCGTGTTTGTTTTAATCCGAACGGAAGAACATTCCATTCATAATGCTTTTGTGGAGGGCATGAGAATACCGTTAATGTTTTGTTTCTTCAGACAACCGAGGTTGCCAGTATCCTGATTTAGCGTCAAGGCTGCTAAACTAGTTTTTTCCTTTTACTCTTTCGAGTATATAATCTTTTCTTGGTAATTTGTAGCTATTTCCAATAGTCGCTTCATTTAGCTTTTTATAGTTTATTACCATTCTTCTTTTTCCTCGTTTTATTTCATTATTATTTTCTACGTAGAAAGCCGGGGCCGAATGAGGACATGTATTTTCTCGTATAATTCCTTTGTCTAGTAATTCTTTACATTCTTTAGTAAATTCTTTCACATCTCTATGGGTATATTGTATTTTATTTGGTACATTAATCTCTTCATCGGGATTTTTTAGCTTTATTATTATTAACTAGAAGAGGACTCACGCGATGCGTGGGTTATTTTTATTAATTCTATTGTAATATGTGTCGATTTATATTTGATAAAATATTTCAATTATTTATGTGATTTAAAAAAATATATTTATAAAATTAATGGTTTATTCTAGATATATTCATTGTTGATTTATTTTTTCGATGTCTACAAACAAAATTTAGTTTTAAAACAATACTAAAAATTATATTATAAAATATTATAGTTATCGTTTATTTTAAAAATAATTAAATTTATATTATTTTCATAATTTAATTTTATTATATTGGATTTTAAAATTTTTACAGATGATAATAACAGTTCAATTATAAAGTTCACAAAAAGTCAGTTAACTTCAAATTATATTGAGATAAAAATTATAAAAAATAGTAGTTAATATAATAATGATATTATTTTATATCACAAGTTCTAAAATTTCTAAATTAAAAAACAATCATTTCTTTTTAAATATATATAAATATAAATATATATATATATATATATATATATGCTATAGAAAAAAATATCAATATATTTTATGAAAATTATAATATTTGATGAATAAATTAATTTTTATGATTAAGTTAGAGTGGTTTATATATATAAATTGAACAGTGATAACATAAAACATTAGTTAATACTAAAGATAATTAAAATAGATTATGTATAATTTTATTAAGTCCAATAAGTTTATTTTCTTCAAAGTAATTATAAAAAGTATAAAAATATTATAAAAATAATTATTAACCAAATTAATTTCGATTCAAAATCTTTTTCCTTTTTGGATATTTTTTTTCATTTGGCAAAATTGACAAAGGTTGTTTCTGTGTCATTTTTATATTGCCAATTCTGTACAAGACCTCGATATTTCTATAGACCTCAGATATAGGGTTTAGCATGAATGTCGATGTTTGAAACATCGATATTGATGTTCCACAACATCGAGATTTCTCGATTTTTTTTTAAAATCCGATTTTTAGTTTTTTTCTCAATCCCAATCACTTTTGGTCATTTTTCTAGCAACGTATGCTTATGATGCATGAAATTAAACGTGTTTATGCGATGCAATTACACGGGTTACCTCCCCGCAAAGCACTAATTTAAGGTCATCAGCTTTACCCTCTTGATTTCAGTGGTCTGGTGGTCGCGTTGGACGGAATTGGTTAACTTTCCGCCGTCCAGGAGGTATGTACATTGTCCTGGTACACACGGTCTGTCTCAACTTACAGTCGTTTCTGCTTGTATACTTAGGAATTGGATCGGGAGGTTTCTCTTTAGTACCTGATCCAGCATTAGGAATCTTCAGCGTGATGCTTTGTTTTTGTAGAACTCTTCCATTGGGTTTACCCTTAGATGTCTTCATCAGGAATTCAGGTTTGGCTTTTATCCCGTTCTCTGCCTTTGAGTTTTCTGATTTAGCCACTGGCAGGATGTAGACATCCTCACCATAGGCAATCCCCTTGCCTTTATCCTTTAGTTGCACAATTTGCTTTTCCGGCATACCAGGCAGTTTTTCTGGAATAGTCAACAACTGTGCACTTTCGTCCTTAGCCCGTTATGACTTTGGTTCAGCTTAAATTCGAAGTCCTCATCTCCAATATGCATCTTTATGCATCCCTTTCGGACATGAATTACGGCATCAACAGTGTTGAGGAATGCACGTTCTAAGATGGTTGATTCATCCTTTCTGTTGTCCATATCGATTACTCAAAGTCGACCAGAACATAGACATTCCAACCTTAAGTGGTACATCCTCTCGATGTTGCTTACTGGATCTGTGATGGATCGACTCATCCTCAAGGACACATCAAGGATTATATCGTCCGTTTGTTGGTTGATCAGATACGTCTTTTATGAGTTAATAAACGTAAGGAATTATAAAACCACATACATATACATACATATATATATAAATATATATATATATATATACTCCGGTGTTATTGGAGTTAGGGGTGGACAAAATATCCGAAAAACCGATCCGATCCGTTATCCGAACCGAAAATTCGGATATCTGGAACTCCGTATTAGATACGGATATTGATTTCAAAATATTTGTCAGATATAGATCGGATACGGATATCAAAACAAAATTATCCGACATAACCGATCCGATTCGTATTTTTTAATAATTTTAATAATTATGACTAATTTTGTAATTAGTTTATATATTAGGGTTAAAGAGTCGGATCCCATGTTTCCTAAATAATTCTGCTGCAGGCTTTTTCCCTTTCCTCTTTTTTTTTTCAAGATTTCCAACACACTGTGACTTCTTCTGCTGCCTTCCACTCTTTTTCACTCCCTCTATCATACTTCTTCAGTCTCCGCCAATTCTCTCTTCTTCTCTATCGTTCTTTCTATTGCAGATCTTTGGATCTAAAGGTATCTTTTTATTCGTCGATTTGTTCTTTATTTCAATATTTTTTATTTTTTATTGGATTATCAACCGTAATTTCTATCAATTTATTGCATACAGAGATTTGTCCGAAAAAGATTTTGTTCGAGACATTTTTTTGTTTTAGATAGAGATTTCTTCGGATGGATATTTGTTAGGGGTTAAGCATTTTTACCCGAGACCCGCGGGTTTCCGGGTATCCGGTCTCACGAGTACGTACTCAGATTATATGGTTTGATGAGAACGAGATAGAGACCGGGTTTTTATCTCACGAAACCTGAGTTCCGGGTTTCGGGTTCGGATTTTGATATATCTGCACGGGTTATCTCTTGGGTACCCAGAAAATATGAAAATTATAAAAATACCCCTTATTTTAAATATATTTACAAAACTACCTATTTCTGAACCTAACCCTAACCCTAATTATCTAACTCTCTTTCGGTCTCTCCCCTCGATTTGGCCTTGCTGCGCCTCCTCTCAGTCTCTCTCACACTGTCGACCGTCGCCTGAAATTGAGCTCCTCCTATTCTCTTTTCGTCCGTCGTCGCCTGAGCTTCAGCCTCCATCGTCGCCGTGCTCTCTGTTCGTCCGCCTCCTCTCTCTCGGTAAGAGCCTCTCCCTCGTCGCCTTGTGCTTCCGTCTTCTCCCTCGTCGCGAATCTCTTTGTTCGACCGAGTTGGAAGCTCTCTGTTCGTCCGCCTCCTTTTTCTCCATCGCCGCCGCTCTCTTTCTCTCCCTCGGTTTGACCGTCTCCGTCTCAATCGTCTCTTCCTTGCTCCGCCTCAGTCTTCGCCGTCGCCGTTTTCTTTCTCTCCCTCGGTAAGAGCTTCTCCCTCGTCGCCTGAGCTTCTGTCTTCGCTCTACTGATTTAAGTGTACTCCTTGTTACAGGTTCGATCCATATGTATGTTTGAAAATCATGTGTATTTCAATATCTTGTTGATTTTTTGTTCTAACTAATGTGGTTTTTTTTGTTTGTGGAGGTTTGTTCAAATGTGTCGGATACGGATATTTTTTTCGGATCAAAATATAATATTTGTACACATCGGACATAGATACAAATATCTCTTGAACATAAAAGAAATATGACCAACTGTGGTTCGAATGTATTTGGAACGAGCATAAAGAAATTAAGCATACTGCCCACCCCTTAATTTATATTTCTAAAAATAATTTTATTTATTTCATGCAGATTTTTTCTAATGATTTATATTTAATTTTGTTTTCTACCAGTAATTTACAATTTATTTATTTTAATTCAAATATTAAAAATATAACATATAAAGTCCTCATGTTTATATCTTCGCACACTTTGGTTCATAAGGGTATGTAAGATTTTTCCTTGTTACGCGAGAGTAAATTTGACATTTGATAATTGATTCTAATTTATTGATGTTTCACAGAAATTGTTACGACACCAAAAGTTCAGTTGTGTAATTTACCCCTCTGCACCGTTGTGAGAGAGAGAGATGGGGAAGAGGGCGAAGAGTTCGAGGAAAGGGAAGAAAGCATGGAGGGCGAACATAAGCACGGAGGACATAGAGGATTTCTACGAGAAAACAACCAAGGATGCTCTCTCCGGTGGCAATCTCTCCGCTGCTCCCACAGAGGAGCTCTTTCACGTTGACAAATCCCGAGGTTTTTGTTTCTTCTGTCTCTGCGTATTCTTTTAGTTTCCGGGTTCTCTTGGTTGTATGGGTCTAGGTATTATAGTTCTCTTGTGGTTCAAATCGATTGTTGTTGTGATTCCTGTATTTTTCTTTTGGGTGCTTAGAAGCTGCAAAATATTGAGCCTTTTCCGAGATTTGGGCTCTAAAGTGTGAATTTTTTCTTGCTTTGGGTTCTGCAATCATCTCTTGAGTTGCATGTCTCTGTTCTGAAGTTTACTGGAGGAAGAACTGGGAAACTCTGAGCATATCTGTTTAGGGATGTAAGTTATCTGGTTGCTTATAGATTAGAGTAGAGATCGGAATTTACATGGATTGGATGGGAACTGACCTTTATAATGATCAAGTCAAATTGGTCGCTTTCTGTGAAAATGCAAATTATAAGTGATGCAAATCATTCTTTCCTACAAGTTGGAGAATATGCCTTGTTTTGTTCTAAATAATGTGGGTTATCTCATATTTGAACAGCGTACCGACGAAGTTAATGTTCTTCAGTTCTCATGTTCTAGAGCTTCTGCAGATTGATTTGAAAATAAAAAGTATTATATCTTTTACATATGATGTCAGATCTTTCGGTGAAGCGGAAGATTGAGAAACATAGGGCGAAGGTGCTCCGGTGTGACAGCATTTTGCAGAAAAACCCCTTTGTTCAGGCAGTGCTGTCGTCAAAGCCTAAGGCGAAGAAAAATGAGAAAACATCTGTCAAAGCAACTGAACCACCCAAAGAAGTTCAGAAGGTTAGGTATCGATCACCAACAGGTAAGGTGGTTTTCTTGTAATGATTTGTGAAGCTTATTTTCTTAATGTTTTTCCTATGTTGTAGGTTAATGGTGATGATTCTGGAATGGTGGACTTGTGGGATGATGGCCAAGGTCCGTTTGGTGTAATCTTTCTATTTGCAGATTGTTTCTTACATTCGTTGTTTCCATCTCTTCCGTGATATCATTTTTGAAAAAGAATTCTTTTGCAACATCTTGCAGGGGAACAAAAGAATTATACTAGAAAGGTAACCCTGGTTTGCCATTATTGTTTGATTTTTCTTCTGTTCTTGTAGCTGAAATATTCGTTAGACGGAAGCTTACCCTATTTACTGGAATCACACGGTATACAGGTTCCTGCTGTAGAAGTTGAACCTGCAGGATGTTCATACAACCCTTCATTTGACAGTCACCAGGTGATGGATGCTATGAACGATGGCTCTTGTAAGCGAGCTTATTTACTGGTTAATGTGCTCATTCTGTACTTATTATTCCTTTCCAGGATGTGTTGGCTGAAGCAGTTGCTCAAGAAATGCAGAAAGTCTACAAGGTGGAGTTGGGGCCAGAGCCTGTTCCTTTGACCATTGAAGGAGAAAAAATTACTGAAGAAGATGTGAGTATCATTCAATTGTATTATTTAACCTATTGCATTGTTGATTTTCTGCAACCTTAAAGAACATGTCCACTCACACTTTCAACTGACCACTCGCTGCTGTTGTTTCTGTTGCTGTTGCTATCTCAGAGGTACTTTCTAGAAGTGGACAATGGTAGTGAGGGGGAAGATGATGCAGATGATGAGAACAAGGGAACCGAGTCAGAGAAAAGGTGAGGCTTCTTATAATGACAGTTACCGTTTGTTTGCACATATCACAGTTAAAGAGTCGGATCCCATGTTTCCTAAATAATTCTGCTGCAGGCTTTTGAAAACAAAGAGGGTGACCCGTGTGGAATTGAACAAGCGAAGTAGACAAAAAGAACAACAAAAGAAGGAAGCTGAGGAAAAGAAGAAAACTGAGATATCGAAAGAAATTGACAGGTTTAATGATTTCCAATCCTGATGTCCATGGATGCAAACGCACAAAAGAACATGTTCTTACGGCTGTTTTCGCTTATTTCCTTTATGTAGTTTGCCGAGCATCTTACAAGAAATAGCCAACGAAGACGAGGAAAAACAGAAGAGACATCTACGGCGAGTCATTGCTAAGCTGGAAATACTAAAGACACGTCCTCCTCGGCTGGGAAAACACAAGTATGAAAAGCTTCTTATGCCTTGTACAATTTCTCTATGCTGGTTTATGCTTCCAATTTTCGATGTGGGGATCTGTATTTCAGATTTGAGCCTGCTCCAGTTCAAGTCCTGTTATCTGAAGAAATCACTGGATCACTTCGCAAGCTAAAGGCAAGTACTTTTTTTTTCTTCCCCTCCATTCTCTGATTCCTCGGCCCGGAAAGAAGAAACTAAAAGAACCCCCCTTCCTATGGTGATAGGCGTGTTGCACACTTGCGAGGGACCGGTTCAAGAGCTTGGAGAAACGAGGACTGATCGTCCCGACAAAGAACACAAGGTTAGTCAATTCAGGTCTTGTAACAAAACCAGACTTCCATACCCACTGAGACATGAACATGAAGAACAAAGTTTGATTCTACAAATTCTGACGGTCGTGTTTCAAACAGGAAGATTTAGAAGCAGTTTTCCCTTGCCAGAAGGAAGCCTCAGACATCTCCCATCGGTTCATATACTTTTGAGCAGATTTGCTAATGTTTAAATATTCATTGTATGTTCAAGAAGCATGTCTACTGAAACTCACTTCAACAATTTTATTTCTTGCAATCACAAATTTCGGTGCATCTTTTAATGTGTGTGATGAAGTGTAATTATTTCGTTCAAATGAGAAAAAGGGTCCAATAATTCCAACACATACATAAATACATTCAACGATTTACCATAAAAAAGATTTCAACTTTGGTTGCAATACAAGAAAGACACAAACAGATCAGTAAATACATCGATACATTCAACAATTTACCTTTAGAAAGATTGAACCATAAGCAAACGAGAACTGGGTCGGTCTTGAGGGGCAAGCAAGCTTATTTTGTCTTCGATTTCCCAGCGAAAGTCGGCGATAGGGAGAAGTCATGCGGATTCTTGCTGCTCGCTTAGCCAATGTAAGCATTATTAAACCATCCTCTGAATTTTCGTTTCTGAAATTCTTCGGCTTTCTCTTAATTGATCAATGGTTGAAATTGCAGTACTGTTGCAGAGGGTGATATCCGTAATACCCCCTCCTCAAGACGGGGACGGAAGGAACAGGCTTGAGATATTCATTCGAGACAACAAACTCGTGAACAACGAAGGCTGCAAAGCTTTGGTAAAAATGTCAGCTAGCTGGTTCTCGGTAGAAACATGCATCAGGAGAAGGAACCCAACTTTTAGTTTATCACGAACGAGATGACAATCGATCTCGATATGTTTAGTTCGCTCGTGAAAAATCGGATTTGTTGCAATGTGATTTGCAGAGCGATTATCACAGAAAAGCTTCGCAGGCCCAGTGACAGTAATGTGTAAATCTTGGAGAAGATTGTGTAGCCAGACTAACTCACAAGTGGCATTGGTTAAGGAGCGATATTCCGCCTCTGTGCTGCTTCGGGAGACCGTAGTCTATTTCTTGGCTTTCCATGAAATCAGGGAGTCTCCAAGGAATACACAAAATCCAGATGTGGATCGACGGGAATCTAGGCAAGTTGCCCAGTCGATGTCGGCAAAGCATTAAGGCACAGAGAGAAAGAAGCAGAGTAAAACACACCCTGTCCAGGGTTGTTCTTCAGGTAACGGACAATCCTCTGTGCAACAGCAAGATGAATCGAAGTGGGACAAGACAGGAACTGACTGAGCTTATGAACCGCATAAGCAATGTTAGGCCTGGTGATTGTCAGGTAGAGTAGCCTTCCAATGAGACGCCGATAAGCAGTAATATCAGGAAGGGGATCGCCGGAATCTTTAGAAAGACGGACTCCTAGATCGAGAGGAGTGGAAACTGGTTTGCAAGCCAAGAACCCAGAATCATCGGTCAGATCAAGACAGTATTTTCTTTGGCTGATAGAGATCCCAAGCTTGGAGCGAGTCACCTCTAAACCCAGAAAATACTTAAGCTCCCCTAGATCTTTGATATTGAACTTTTGATGCAACAAAAGCTTGAGGTGCTGAAGGGCAGAATCGTTGTTACTGGCAATAACAATGTCGTCTACATAAACTAGCAACGCAACGAAAGAATTTCCAGTCTTCTTGACAAACAGGGTATGGTCGAAAGAAGACTGAAGAAAACCATCAGCAAGTAAGACATTGGCAAAGGTAAAGTACCATTGGTGAGAGGCTTGACGCAGCCCATAAGGCGACTTTTGCAGCTTGCAAACGGGATTGTCAGGCAATGAAACCCCAGGCTGTGGTGTATAACTAGGAGGTAGCACCATGTAAATCTCTTCATCAAGCTCGCCATGGAGGAAGACATTGGTCACATCCATCTGTGTCAAAGTCCAGTGATGTGTCGCTGCCAAAGCAAGGAGTAATTTCACGGTGACAAGCTTAGCAATAGGCGAGAAAGTATCCAAAAAATAAATCCCTTCCTGCTGTGTGTAACCCTTAGCAACCAAACGTGGCTTAAAATGATCAACCGAGCCATCAGAGTGACGTTTAATTTTGTACACCCACTTGCAGCCAACAACCTTTTTCCCAGGAGGAAGGGAGACAACATACCAAGTGTTGTTCCCATCAAGGGTGGCGAGCTCAGTGTCCATGGTTTTCCGCCATTCAACAGCGGATACAGCCTCCTTGAAAGACTTAGGTTCAGAAGCAAAGTTGATGTTTAAAACAAAAGCTCTGTAAAGGGGAGAAAAGCGATTATAGGATAAGACCAATGAAAGAGAATATAAAGGAGAAGAAACAGAAGGCAAGAGATAACAATGATAATCCTTGAGATATGAAGGAGGATGTGGGTGACGGTGAGGACGAGAAGAAACAAGGGTCGGCAGAAGGGAAGGATTAGGAGGTGAAGAAACAGAGGCAGAGGCTGATTCAGGAGATATAGAATCAGAGGGAGAAGACGAAATAGGGGGAAGTGAAGGTTGGGAGGATGAAACAGAGGGAAAAGAAGCCGAAAGATTATCATGAACGGGAATTGAGAAGATAGAATCTGAAAAAGAAGAAGGATCATTACCAATAGCAAAAGGAAACATGTTCTCGTGGAAAACAACGTGCCGAGAAATGAAGATGGAATTAGAATCTAAGTCAAGGAGCTTATACCTTTTGTATCCGGGAGGATAACCCAAGAACACCAAGCTCGGGCACGAGAAGAGAACTTATGCCTGGCTGTTGTGGGAGAAGATGCATACGCGAGACACCCAAAAGCGCGCAACTCGACATTGCAAAACCTCAAAGGATGACATGTGCATCAAAACAGGGGAAGGAGTCCTGTTAATAAGGTAGGTTGTTGTACGAACGCAATCAGACCAGAATGACAAAGGTAAATGCGCCTGAAACAGCAGAGCCCTGGCCACATTAGGCTGATGTTGATGCTTTCGTTTCGACCACTGAATTCTGCTCGGGAGTGTGAACACACGAAAAATGATGAATGATCCCTTTGGAGAGAAAATAATCAAAGAACTTGAGTTCATTCGCATTGTCAGAATGCACGACCTTAATAATCGAACCATATTGTGTTTCAATTAAGGTAACAAACTCCGGAACAAGCCTCAGAACATCGCTTACAAATTATATATAGGTAACAGATTAATTATTTTATTGTAAATAGATGTATTTGTTAGAAAAAATATTTTTATTAGAATATATTATAATGTAAAATTATATATATTAGTTTCTATTATAATATTTGAGTGATTTTATTATTTATTTTATTATAAACTGTAATGATAAATTATATATAGATATGTATTTTTAATTACACAATAAAAATTATAAAAATGATGAGATAAAATATGATGTGACTTACCTAAATAATGAATATGTCAAATGACCAATAAGATTTGAAAAAATGGATGGTGTGGAAGATGAAGTGGCTTCACCAGAATCTTTTAAACATCTTTATTAATATATATAGATTTTTAATTAATTCCAATTTTTTATTTAATTATTATTAATTAAGAATAGTAACGTATTCTGATTGTATATGTGAAAAGGTGAATAGCAAAATTATTAAATTGGGATCTTAAACGGTGGCCAACTTGAACATTTATTATATACACTAATGATACCGTCTCCGCCGGAGACACAGTCGATCGGTACCGGCGCCCACATGACGGACTCACATGCATAGCCCAGATTTCTATTTAAAGATTTTATCTTTTAATTTTTCCAAAAAAAAAATGTGTTCTTTGGCTAATATTTGTATTAAATCACTGTTGTATCTTGCGCTATTTTTAATTGTGAATACTAAAAGATAAAATATTAAAAGATCTATCAATTATGAATTTATTTGCATATGTTTTTAATCTTTTGTCATTTCTATTGTACAAATATATAATGTTGATCAGATCCATGTATGAATATTATATTGATTAGATTCATATATTAGATTGATAATTTTTAGCGGATTTATGGTGTATTATGCGTATGTATAGGTTTATCCATTTTTATCTTATTTTTTATTTTATTACACATATTTAAATTTTTTTGTTATCTTGATATAAAAATATAAATAGATTGCTATAATTAAAAAAAAGAAGTAAAATTCTATTTTTATTATATAAATAACAAATGATGATTGATGATTGATAAATTTCTATTGAGTGATTATGGTTTGTGATGTACATGTTATATGATGATGTTTTTTAATGGATTTTATTGGACCGTTAGAATGAGTTGAACTGTTGATATTAATTAAATTTTGACATGATATTTGGAAAGATTAGAGAAGTAAAGAATTGAGTTAGGGACTATGATGTGACCTCAAACTATGCTAAAAATATTTTAAAAGTTAGTTTTAAGACTATGGTACGGCGGTGATCCGTATGTGATGCATGGTATGATAACAATCGGGGCATGGCAGCGATCCATGTGGAGTGGTATCCCCGACTACGACGGCGATCCATAGAGGATTATTGCTATTGGTTGAGTTTTGAGGTCATGGTACAACGGCGATCCGTATGTGATGACATAACGAACCAAGCATAACAGCGATCCATGTGGAGTAGTAATCCCGACTACGGCGGCGATCCGTAGAGGGCTATTGCTATTGGTCGTGTTTTGATAACCCCGACTACGGCGGCGATCCGTAGAGGGTTATAACGATATTTTTTGTCTTGTTTTATAAAAAGAGTTTTAAGCTAAGTCTGATGGGTATTGAATGATCTTAGAGTCTGGACTCGTCTTAAAGAATCGAATAAAGAAAAGATAAGAGAAAAGTGCGAAGAAAAATGAGTTTGCTTGAGTTAGAATGTTGATTGTATTTGTTTTTTATTTGATTGTCTATGTTGGGTATGGAGGTGAGGTTTATAGTCTTGCGACTTCACTGAGCTATTCGCGTAGCTCACCCTTTCCTTTTTTTTTCCACAGGTGAAAGTTGAAACAGATTGTTTTGGTTGGACTCGTTAGTTGTCAGACAGAAACACGAATGATTTGATTTTCTATTTTTACGAGTTTAGAATTTTAGACTTATGTTATTTAAGACTTCCACTGTAGACTTGATATGATATATTTAGTCTTGAATAAACTGGATTTCTTCAGAATCCAGGTGGCGGCGATTCAACGGGTCCAAAATACCGGATTTTGGATCGTTACATGAAAACTGATTAACGACAAGCGTTTATGATAATAAATGTTCGATGTAAAATTAAACTTTTCTTAAGTTACGTTTTTTATGAATTTGTCCGTAATCGGTAAGTCTTGCAAAGCTTTTTATCTGGTCTAAATTTCACCTTATCTAAAATTTTAATAAACTTCATCTTTAAGATATAAAAGCAACCGCTTTTTTATCAGACCATCATTGTAAACCTCAAAAACACGTAAACTCTTCTGTTTCTCTTTTGATAAGTTTATTACACTCCTCTAGTAGTTGTCCAAAATTCTCATTGGTTCACTAATGTTCACTATTTTTTAAATAATAATTATACTAAAATGATTTAATATTATAAGAAAATTTTTATGATGCATTGATGCTATTTTAAAGATGGTATTAATAAATTTTTTTGTTTTTATATTTCAAACCCGTTATGTTGGATGAAGTAATTTAGTGATAATGATCCACGTACTTATTCCCAAACTAAATTTTTAGTTCATGAAATAAATAAATTTTTTGATAATTTTTTTAGTTCAATCCAAATGTCAATTATAGTGTCATGTTAAAAAATAAACCCATATAAATTATACATATAGTGTTTTGTTATATAATCAAAGTTGAAAAGGAAAAAAATTATGTGGTTTATTGCAAAGAAAAAAATTATTCTTAGTCACATTATATCACCCGATGGGCGACACAACTACATTTTGTCAAAATTATGTTTCCTTACATAATTATATATTTATGTCACTCCAACGTATAATTTGTTATCATTCTTAGATTTCGCCAAAACCATTTTCCCACCTCTTTGCTATGTTAATACAGAGGGTTCTATTAGATACGATTTTTAGAGTTCAAGATTTTTCATGGGATAAACAAAGGTCATGTTTTTTTTTTGTTAACCACTATGCTTCCCCGAACCTTCGACCTGACTACATCCACCATAGATTCGAAAGCAGCCTTTAGAGTGAAAATGGGAAACAAATATATGATGCAAGTAAAATTAGATTATGTGATATGATTAAGAATAATAAATGATACAATATTATTATATCAAATATTGTATATCTGATTTATTTCCGTTGTATCTATATTTTCTTTTACTTTGTTTATTAATTTTTCTATAAATATTTGAATCATTTTCATTGAAGGTAACTAGAAGAAGAAGAGATGTAACAATTAAAGTAATTCCATTTTTTTCATTTTCGTTCTTTCTTATTTATTTTATTCTCGCATTTTATTTTCAATATGTTATCAGAACTTGGTCGCGATCTGGACTATATATTTTTTTTTTTAATTTTCTAATCTCTTCTTTCATTTGCGTTTTAGATGTTCATATATTCAAATCTTTCAAAGGGAGTAAAAAAAATAAACTTCAAACAATGTGTTATGACAAAAAAAAGTCAAAGCTAAAAACTCTAAGATCAAGCAAGATGCTATGACAAAAAGAGTTAAAACTAAAATTTTAAAGTCAAGCGAAGTGATTTGAAAATGGTTAATACTCTCTAAAGAACAAAATTTAGTGTTTATGAATTTTTGCAAAAGCAATGAAAATGTATGAGTGATTTATAGCATTATCAATTCAAGATTGACTTTTTTCATTCTTTCAAAATCAATCTTGAGGGAGAATGTTAAGATGGAAAACAAATGTATGATGGGAGTAAAATTAGATTTTGTGATATGATTGGGAATAATAATGGATACAAAATTATTATATCAAATATTGTGTATCTGATTTGTTTCCATTGTATCTATAATTTTTTTTACTTCATTTATTAATTTTTCTATAAATATTTGAATCATTTTCATTGTAAGGTAATTAGAAGAAGAAGAGATGTAACAATAAAAGTAATTCCGTTCTTTTCATTTTCGTTATTTCTTATTGGGTGGTTCAACTAGTAAACTATGAAGCAAAGTTTTTTTTTAATTGAAGTTCGAGTCTCCATTTATAAAAGGCATTCACTCCTATTTTCCGTTATTTTGAGAGATATAATCATAAAAAGTTGGCTAAATTTTTCGATTATAAAAAAATAAATAAAAATAAAAGATTGGGGAGAAAGCTAGGGTTTCTTAATGGCCTCCCCGCACAGATTTGTTTATAATAAAAATAATTACAACGTGCAAATAGAAAAAGAGAGTGATAGATTTAACCAAAAAAAAGTGGATAGATTATGGAAAATCTATCACACCACAAGACTTGGACTTAAACAAAACAAATTTTGAAATATTCAAATTAATAAAATGAGCAAACTTATTTCCAACATATTTGTCTTTTCATTTTAAAATTTTCTATTTCAGATTCAAATATATATATATACACACACACGTACTCACTTGGACCTTATTTTCCGGTGGTCGAGACTAATCTGCAGTCAAAAAGTATAGCTTTGAATTTTATTTTTCAACATAATATTCGACCTTGAAATATTATGTCTAACCTTTAAAGTTATATTTTATTCACCTTATAAAAAATATGAATTAAAGATGAGAATTTAATAGTATTTTGATTACTTGATATGCGTGTGTTATTCTTTTCTACTTTTTTTCAGTAAAAAATACTAATATTTAGTTATTTACGGCCTTTTAGGCTAATTTATATAGACCGCTAAATTTTAGAAAAATTATTATCAGATTTTTATCTGAATTTTCAAATATATATGAATTTGCAAGTGGAGTTTCCAAGAAAAGGAAAGGTTGAAACCGGGTGCAAGCAAGCGAGTCCAAACACGATTAACCAATGGAAAAAAAATCAAAGAAAATTTCATATCGTTTGTGAATAAAAATGGATTTATTTCTATAACATTTCGGACTGTATATAATTTAGTATATTCATAATGGGATGGGTGAATGCATATTTGTCATGTTTCCCATTTTAATTTGTAACAAACGATGACACATTTTCGTGTCATTTCACCACTTTTATTTTTGCTCCTTTTTGGGCATAAACACTAATAATTTAGATATTTTTGTATCCCTCCATGCCATTTTTTTTTTCATATTTAAAAGAAACACTTAAAACCATTTTGTTTTTTTTACGTGCAAAAAAATTGGTGAAATTGGGTAAAATGGTGCGACTTTCCAATACACACTAATATTTGTTACCTTTCCCATTTTAGTTTGTAAAAAAAAAATGATGACACGTTTTCTTGTCAATTTACCACTTCTTTTGCCCTTTTTATTTTTGGCATACACATTAACAGTTGAGACATTTGTTTCTTTCCAATACACACTAATATTTGTTACCCTTCCCAATTTAATTTGTAAAAAAGAAATGATGACATTTTATTGTCATTTTACCACTTCTTTTGCTATTTTTGTTGTGTTTTTGCCGTAACAGGGTGTAATAATTTAGGGGTTTGGTTCCCCCCGTGATCCATTTTTCTTTTAATGCTAAAAAAATATAATTATAGAAATCGAATAAAATAATGTGGACTTTCCAGTTTGACCAACCACCATATCTCCCGCTTCTCTCTCTCTCTGTCTGAGGCTTCAAACGCGTGTAATGTCCGAATTCGTTTGTGAAATCAAACCGAAATTTGTACTGAAAACGCCCTAATCGTACTTCTTTGCAGTACATTCTCTCTCTCTCTCTCTGGCAATTCCTTCACCCCCGCCCTTCCAGTTATTTATAAATTCATCGTCCCCAGAAGCCATTCTCTGTATTTCATGGGTGCGATCCCGGGGAATTTTCTTGCTCCCTTCACGCCTTTTTTATTACTGGGTCACCGATTTCTCCACGGCTTCTCTAATCCGATTTTGGGTTCGACCGACAGCTCCCAGAGATCTCCTGAATTTCGGGAAGTCCTATTTGTCTTCCATATTCGGGAATTTTGATTTCCGACGTGATCGGTGCTCAGGAAGCGCGATTCGTCAGGTGAGCTGAGAATTCGTTGGCGTCTTTGCGATTTTTTCATTCGAGATCCTTGTTTGTTTCATCCCTTCCTGTTGTTCGATTTCGAGTTTCTTTCTATAATAGATCGAGAATTCGATCATTCTTAGCAGTTCAGCGATGATGGCGTAAATCACAGCGTCGAAATGTTACTGAGAAACCGAGATATAAAATACGAGAAACCGTCTTTTTGAATTCCGAGCTTCTCCATGGTTATCAATACGTGATTCTGTTTGATTTTCGTGTTGTGATCAGACATATAAACTCATCATCATTGCATGATATGTTAAGAGATTATGACATGCGCAAGTGTTGTTCCATGCCTGTTTGGCTGGTAAGAAACAGAGAAAAGATATGGGGATTTTTTTCTTGTCCATATACGACGAGCAGAATGCTGTCAATTTCCGAGCATTTGAACGTTTCTGTAGCTTAGCTCATGAACTGGGTTTCCACGTTTCAGGAATCTGCAGCGACTGAACTGTCTAGACAAGAACAGGGAACAAACCAAGATTAGTTTGATTCCAGATAGGGTCTTGATGGATAGCGATAAGCTCAACCAAGAGAACGATCACATGGGAGAAGAGACTTATCAGAACGATTCCAGTGATATGGGGAAACCGCCGCCATGGACGCAACAGATCACAGTTCGTTCAATTGTGGCAAGCTTGTTCATCGGCATTGTGTACAGTGTGATATGTCTAAAGCTGAACCTGACCACGGGGCTGGTTCCGAATCTGAACATCTCATCGGCCCTGTTGGCGTTTGTGTTCCTTAAATCATGGACAAAGGTTCTCCACAAAGCCGGCATTGTCACTACCCCATTCACACGACAAGAGAACACCATCGCTCAGACATGCACTGTTGCATGTTATAGCATTTCTCTTGCAGGTACGAGCAATAGTAACTTTGTACAAGTATATACTGGTATAGTCTGAGCTGACATCGATCGACCATTTTGTTGAAAACGTGGAATTTCGCAGGTGGCTTTGCGTCGTATTTGTTGGGTTTAAATAGACGAACTTTCGAGCTGACGGGAGGGAGTAGTACCATAGGAAACAATCCTCGTGGTATAAAAGAGCCCGGGGTTGGCTGGATGACTTCTTTCCTCTTCGTCACAAGCTTCATCGGGCTACTGGTATTGGTACCTCTCAGAAAGGTAGGATTTTTACGTATCAACACGAGCATATATGTGTAATAGTTATGGCCATAAATCTGAAAGGAATCCATTAAAGGTCATGGTAAACAATCCAATCATATGCTAAAGCAGTAAATTTCGATTCTTAAAGTTCTGCAACTGTGGATCAGGCTTGTATTGAAGAGATGAAAAAAGTTGTATTAGATATCACATCTGTTATTGTGATTTTTTGGGGGATGGACTGATTCCTAACATGAATCAAATACATATTGCGATCTTGTTGTGACAGATAATGATCGTCGACTATAAACTCACGTACCCGAGTGGAACAGCTACGGCCGTTCTGATAAATGGCTTCCATACTAGCAAAGGAAGCAAGACAGCCAAGTATGTAATTCTTGAATCTTGAAAGTATCTGTCTACTCTAGGAATCAGGACGTTAGCGGGGTACTGAGATTTGTCTAGCTATCTGTGTCCTCGTTCTGATCTCGATGGATATATAACTCATCGAATTCTTGTTTGTTTCGTTCACAGGAAACAGATTCGCGGGTTTATAAAATCCTTTGGCTTTAGCTTTGTGTGGGCATTCTTTGGATGGTTCTATTCAGGCGGCAAAAATTGCGGGTTTGCTAAGTTCCCTACATTTGGGTTACAAGCTTTGAAACACACGTAAGCCCCTTCTTTTTTGTGGTTGCAACTCGACAGAAGTTCAAACACAACTCTATGCTGTTTCCAAATTACAGTCTACCCTCTGATCTGTGATTGAAAAGATATAATCTTTTTCGGGTTTGCAGATTCTTCTTCGATTTCAGTATGACATACGTCGGTGCGGGAATGATATGCTCGCATCTGGTGAATCTGTCATTGCTCCTCGGTGCGATCCTCTCGTGGGGAATCATGTGGCCTTTGATAAGCCGACTCGAAGGCAAGTGGTTCCCAACAGGATTGCCAGAGACCAGCATGAAGGGCTTAGACGGCTACAAGGTCTGAAAATTACTTATAACCTATTCATCGTGAATAAAAAAATCTCGTCCTCCTCATTGATTGTTGCTGCCCTTTACAGGTGTTTATATGCATAGCTTTGATCTTAGGAGATGGGCTCTATAACTTTTGCAAGATCCTCTTTTTCACCAGCAGAAGCATCTATGCCCGATTCTTGAAAACCAATATAAACTCCAGTAAGTAATCCGCTGAATCATAGTTTTTCTCTCGATAAAACGATATCGTTAAACTCTCTTATATGTACATATTTGCAGGGACTGTTGTTCCAAGCAATGACACCGAGCAATCTGAGAAGCTCCAACGAGAGAACGAAGTATTCATACGGGAGAGCATTCCGCTATGGGTGGCTTGCGTCGGATACTTGATCTTCTCAGTCATATCAATCGTCGTGATCCCTCTGATGTTCCCTGCCCTAAAATGGTACTTTGTCGTCGTGGCTTACCTTCTAGCGCCGTCTCTGAGCTTCTGCAATGCTTACGGGACGGGTCTGACTGACATGAACATGGCTTACAACTACGGGAAAGTGGCTCTGTTCGTGATAGCAGCACTGGCAGGGAAAGACGAAGGGGTCGTGGCCGGAATGATGGCTTGTGGTCTAGTCAAGTCCATAATCTCGGTCTCAGCCGACCTGATGCACGATTTCAAGACGGGTCACCTCACTATGACCTCCCCTCGTTCCATGCTCGTGGCTCAAGCCATCGGGTCGGCCATAGGCTGCGTGGTCGCGCCTCTCACCTTCTTCCTCTTCTACAAGGCGTTTGATGTCGGGAACCCGGACGGAGACTACAAGGCTCCGTACGCTATCATCTACAGGAACATGGCCATCCTCGGAGTACAAGGCGTGTCGGCTCTGCCCGGTCACTGCCTTCAGCTCTGTTACGGGTTCTTCGCCTTTGCGGCGGCGGCAAACCTGGTGAGAGATACGGTGCCGAGGAAGTACGGGAAGTGGATACCGTTGCCGATGGCGATGGCGGTGCCGTTCTTGGTCGGGGGTGCGTTCGCGATAGATATGTGCGTGGGGAGTCTGGTGGTGTTGGTGTGGAATAGGGTGAGTCGGAGTAAGGCCGCTGTGATGGTTCCGGCCGTGGCGTCCGGTTTGATATGCGGCGACGGGCTTTGGATTCTACCGTCATCGCTGCTGGCTCTGGCTGGGGTTAAGCCTCCTATCTGTATGAACTTCACCCCCAGCCACTGATAAGAAAAAAAGACTGAACTTGTTTTAAGCAATTAAAAAAAAAGGACTGGCGTTCATTTCTTAATATTACAGCGAGCTCTGATTCTCCGACCGCCGGAAAAGATCCGACAAAAAAAAATCTCCGTACAGATCGCCGATCAGAAATGTGCACCAGCGCTTCACCGGAACCGCCGCAAATAAGAAGCCAACGGTCACCGGAACTAGTCTTCTCTTGTTGAGGGTTAATTCAATTTTAGAGTTTTATTAGTTTGTCTGTACAATTAAGTATTTGAATTGGTTATAACTTTTTTCTTTAGTAATAATGAGCCAAACAATAAACATGTCAAGGGAAAAGGGTCATACATTCAGATTCAAACGAAATATGAGAGAACCAACCCAAACCGGTTCAGACGGCCGGTTAACAAATAAATCAAACCAAACCAACTCCTGCTAATTTTGGTTCGAAATCAAATCAAACTAACCTTACCCCGAAGTGTTAATTTTGGTTCGAAATCCAAAATTCGGTCTGACCGACCAGAAAAATAGCGGACTTCAAATCTAAATATTTTGGTCCAAAAAATTTTGAACTTTTTGGGACTGAATTCAAATCGGTCCGAAAACTCAATTTTTTTTAAAAAAAATTAATTTTTAAAAAAAAATCAGCAGGCCAGGTTAGACCCAAATCTAAAGTCTATAGGACCGAAATTCGAGTTTAGTTTTTTAGACTCGAGCCCAAAGGCCCCAAACCTAAAACCCTCAGACAGCCCCCGATTGACACTTCTACCCCGAGCCATCATCACACATACATTATTCTCTCATAAATCATAATATTCATTTCTGAAACTACAATTTCATTATTCGTGCATCAGATTTGCTACCATAACCATAAAAGCAAACCAAGCTTATTACCGACACAGTCCGATATAGTTTTTGCATCTTTACGGTCACAAATTAAGATGCGTTAGGGGAGGAACACTTCACTTCACAGCTTCGAAGCCGCTGCTTTGTCCAGAAACCAAACCAGTTCGTCCTCAGCTGCAAGGGAACCAGCAGGTAAATTCCCAGTGCTCTTCAGAGACTTCTCCACTGATTCGGCTTTCCCAGAACCGCAAACCACCATGGCATTGTATCCGGCCGAGTTGATCACAGGGAAGGAGAGGGTGATTCTCTCGGGTGGCGGTTTCGGAGAGTCGGTGATGCAGGTCACCCATTTCTTGTTCTCGTTGCAGAGATGATGTCCCGGGAAGAGTGACGCGAGGTGGCCATCAGGTCCCATACCCAGAAGCATGAGATCGAATTTCGGGAAGCCGGATGATTGAGATGTGAGGATGATGTTGTTCTTCACCAGTTGTTTGATGCAGGTTTCGTAGTCTTCAGCTGCACCCTCGGCATTGAGGGCATCATTGATGGCGTACACGTTACCATCCGGAATCGGGACCTGAGTAAAATCGAAGAGAAACGATTACCAAAAGACAGAACTCTAGTTCCAAATTTCAGTATCCCTTATGATTTGCATCAAGTTATGCAACCATTAGCCGAAACTCCATCAACACTGACTTTCAATCAATTGAACTGGTACCCTGAACTTGAAAGCAATGTCAGAAGAAAAAAACCAATCATGGAATTGATTTCAAATGGTGAGAACAGTATATGTTAGCAAGATGTTACCCTTTTTCATATCCATTTCTCAAGCTAACAATCATATATTCCACTCCTCACACCCAGGGGGAACCAAAAAGAAAATCTGGGGGGGGGGGAAGAAGGCGCAATACCTTGCAGAGAAGGCCGTCATAAGCCAGTTTGTAGTTGCTGTCGACGTGATGCTTGGGAACAACCCTCTCGTCCACCCAGAAAATGTGCCACTTTGACCAATCGATTGAATCCACATAAGGAGGTTCTGCCAATTTCCTGCAATTTGAGTGTGGATTTTCCCCAACAAAACTAGATTTACGTTATTCTCGGAGCATGAGATTGCAATACCAAGCAAGAACATTCACTGCATGTGTTCTTAGCAATAAAATCGGAGTATTCACGACCATTACTGCCCGAGCACCACAGAACGCCAAATCATATGATATAATACATAGGCAAAACCCCAATTCACCCACAATTCACTCTCGATCCCTAAATTCCAGATACAATTGTTCCGTGCAATTGGAAATTTCCCAGATTGAGAAGAAAACCCCTAAAATCTGAATTCCAAATCATGCTTTTAGTCATTTCTCACATTCCAAACAGAAATCCACGAACTCGTCATTTTCAAAAACCCTATCGGAGGAAAAAATATAAACGCACGCACCTGAGCGACTTGATCAGTGAGCCGCCGGAGAGAACAACGGTGAAAGCGCCTCTCTCCTTGCAGAACTTGTCGGAGAGATCGGCGGTGTATTTGGCCAGGGCCACCGCAAGGTCCTCCTCGCCGTCGAACACCTCCACCCTCCGCTTATCCGCCGCCATGCTTGTTGCCTCCAACGCCTTTCTCCGGCTAACGACCAGATTCCGGAAAGACCCACCGCCGATCGACGAAACTGCCGCCGATTCGAAACCGAAGGAGAGAGAGCGAGAGAAATCGAGCCTAGAAGGAAAGAAACGAGGAGAGGGAGAAATGGGAGAAGAGAAGAGGAGCGAACGAAGAGAAGAAAAAGACGAAGACGCCATGGAGGGAGTGGAAGAGCG